CCCCCCCACCAATTACCTGCAGAATTGAAGACTACACCCAAATTCCTGTGTTGATCACTAAAATTCAATAATTGGTCGTTAAAACGTAAATCTCCATTTAGTTCTATCGCATTAGAGATAAATAAAACATTGGTCTTGCTAGCATTGAAATCTACTAACCATTTTTTGGCCCATTTACTCAAAGAATCAATGTCTAGGTTAAGGACAGTCTCTATTTCTTGACAGGAAGAAGCTTAAGATATGTGTAAGAGAGAAGTATCGTCTGCGAAAAGTCTAGAGGAAGAAAGCAATACATCAGATATGTCATTAATATATATAACAATAATAATTATGGGCTTAAAATAGAACCTTGAGAAACTCCTACTTCTATGAAACCAGCATGCACGAGAAAGAGAATTCGATATAAAAACGTGTTGTTGCCTATTAGATAGGTAGTTGTTGATCCAAATTGTAGTAAATATAGCTTCTCAGAGCTAATGTATAAATGTTATGCCATATACGACACTAATTAAAGCTTCTTGTATCTGGTATCTTGTATCTTGTAATCAACATTTGTCTTCGGGTCTTTTTTTAGCGTGTAAAATGTCTTGAAAATTCAACGACAATTTCAAAAAATCACTGAAAAACAAGAACTCCTTATTCTAAATGAAAATGTCATCATACGTACACGTGCTCCAACATACTGTAGCATTTTAATTACACTTTTCTGACAACTGCCCATTGATCCTTAACTTTAAAAGTTATCTGCTCTTAGTTTAAAAGGCTACCACAAGGAAATAGTCAACTTCCGGTGGGACCATAATAGTTTTACATTTAATCGTCTGAGGCGAATACAAATCAGAGGTAAAATGATTGACATTTTCTCAGTGTTCAAATTTTGTACATTCTTTGATATAGCCTTGATAACCTGATATTTATAAACATGTCAATAATTACATAGCAATTCACACGAACGTTACGCCCATCAAATGACATCACCTGTGTTGTGCTGCAGAAGCTGAGAAACTATTCATCTCCATGTTTATATACACATCGATAAGGATTTGTTCGCAGCAAAATGATGGAGATTCCCGTGAACAAGAACAGTTACAAAGCAAATGATTAGATGATATGATCCACTGACTTAATTCTTAAATGCTGCTACTGAGTCGGTTCCGGGTTGTTTCGCCCTAAATCCCGTTCTCCCTAGGTTGTTTCGTCCTAAAACAAAAAAAATATGGCGAAACATTGTTTGGTATTTTTCTTTTCATATTTATTTGTTTTAATCACAAATTAAGTCTTTTTAGTCTTCCATCATCATTAATATAATGTTTAACAATGTCCTATAAATATTCAGGTGTAATAATAAATATGATTTAGATTTTAACCATTTAAAATAAGTCTGTTTATGACGCATAGAAGAGAGCAGTTCAAAACCAGTTTCAGCATATAGTTTCTGATGTGATGTTCCACTTCGTAATTCAGTTACTATTTTCATAGCCTGAATTTGTACAGATTATAATTATTTAGCTTCACTAACAGTACAATTGTTCCAAACAATTTCATTATGGTTCATTTTTGTAAGTGAACATATGACAGGTAATCAGAAGTGAAGATAACAATGAGAAGAGTAAACATACTCTCTAAACTATAGTAGATCATAAATAATAATAACACAATATAATTAATACAAAGTCATACTACAGTAGTGATCTTATTTGAAATATCATTGAAAATAAATATATGCCATTAGTATTTTTGGGCGAAACAACCCTTAGGGCGAACAGGATTTAGGACGAAACAACCCGCTAGCTTCTGAGTCTGATCACAGGGGTTTGTTACAAATGTCTGAAATACACATGTGTGCTGTGACCCATATCAGTATATAGCATATATGTGTATTTCAGACATTTGTAACGAACACCTGTGGTCTGATCTTTTCCAAGCAATTATGATTAATTTTCCCTTTTGACACCAGATGCTTTCCTCACATCCACATTGAATTAAATAATATTGAAATCATTGATGATCTGATGGCATAAATTGGATATATACGGTAGTCCTCTCTATTTTCGGGATAAAATTAGTTGGACTGGCATATATATATACCAACTTAAGATATAGCCAGAGTTTCCTCTGGCCCTGCCCCAGACACCAGACTTACACATATTGACAGATAGATGTCTGGTATAGGGCCAGAGCACAATACTTCATGAAAATGTGGAATTCTATGACACCATTTGGTGCTGACAACAAAAATCTGCTAATTTGCTATGACTCAACGCATACCTCACATATATCGATAGATGGGTTATTGATTAATCCAAACCCATCCTTATTATCACCAATTGTAAGACAACTGCTGCTAGATCCTGTCAGCAAAGTCCTTATATAATATACTATTCATCAGGTTGTGATAACAAAAAAAAATGTATACATGTGCATTATGTAACTTCCAAATTCTGTTACTGTAGCAGCCTCCAACTTGGTGCAAGATAGGTCTTCATGGAATTTGGTCATTGTTGATTATATAAATGTTGCATATTGCAGTGTTTTAATGAATTTAAGCTGCAAAACAAGTTAACTATACATTTGCTATAAATATCATAAACTCTTCTCATTTGACAGCAATCATGACTTGACTGACATTTAGTCGTGATCAGTTCATCTGAGGTGGGACGTGGATTCTGCCGCTAAAAAGATGGAAAATATTGAAGAAAAAGGTTTGTATTAAAACTAGCTTGTGAACCATAAGAGTTATTGAAACTGACTGTGACGCTGTTACATTGATGTCATATATAATACCCTGGGAACCAGTGACAATATATGGTATCGACTGTACTGAACCTGTACTTGATCAATCCAGATATTTTCATTGGAATTTGATACATTTTAAAATTATCTTCAGAAAAATATTAAAAATATCTTCAGACAAATATTGGTCTCAGTAATTTTTTTAACAGTAACTCCAAATTTTGTTAGAACTTCAACATAATACTCAGAGTTTTTGAACCTGTAGTTATATTTCTAATCCAGTGTTATTTTCATAAAAGTTCTGCCGTTTTCTGATTCCCATACATAATGTTATCCTAAATACTCCTATACCTTCCGTCTTCTTGGCTGCTTTATATGAAAATTTAGTATAAATTGTTTCAACCATAGGTTGTTGTTCAATTTGTTTTATTTCAAATATTATCGTGGGTAGAGAGAGAAATGCCCCTAGTACCCTAAAAATTACTTATAATGTCCCATGGTACTTCAGCATCAGCAACAGCATTTGGAAAGGAGATAAAGAATTGTCAGTGAAAAATACATTATAAACATGTTATGTAACTTTCAATTTAGTTATCCATTGTAGGATTGTACTTGATTTCCTATTTGATTTGCTTGATAAATGAAATTTGGGGGATTTTGAATGACAGATTGGTCCTCTTAACAAATCAGTTTTGCAAAGTGTCTCATGTTTGATTGAAGAAAGTGTTTTTATATTTGTAACCTTATTTCAGAGTTTAACAAGCAAATTTGCAAAATGATATTCATATTCATATGACCAGGTTTTGCAAATATGATATAATGATACAAACATACAGTTCTTTGGGTGTGTGTTTATATATCTGTATGCCATTTCACCCTTTAAAATTAGTCATTGGGATCTGGAGGATATCTGATGCCTTATTAAAGATTTCTGTAAGATACTGATATTATTTAAATCAAAATAGTTTTTAAAACAAATTTAACTGAAAAAATATATACAATGTCTTGCTTGTGGTGACTCTACAAGTGCTTTGCCTAAAATATCCCTTTCTCTTGTTTTGAACAAAAGAATCCATGTATAGGGGGATTTATAATGACATATGTTACATGTTACATCAACAGGGACGCAGGAAAGCATGGAGAAGAAAGAAGGACAGGATGGTAGAGAGATGCTGATGATACGTTTTCCATGGCGAAGGAACAACAGCTGTCCTGGTAGTCGAGGAGGAGATGATGGTACCAAACCTGGAGAGTACATACTACAGACCCTTTTCCTTGAGTTCTGTAACATGGCCGAAAAGAAAGTAGAACAAGTGTTAGCTGAACCACTGGTATGTATCTCTGTGTTTTGACAGAAGAGTTTGTATGCAGGAGTTTTCCTGCCTATTCCGTCTTTGCATATTGCAGAGTTATCTTCTCTTGGGAGCAGGTGCGAGAAAATTACGTCGTTTTCTCAAAAATTGATGACGTTACTCTCATAAACAAGTGACGTAACAATCAATACCTGCTCCCAAGAGAAGATAACTCTGCAATGCGCAAAGACGGAATTGTAAAAGCACATATACTTTCATTTGTAGACTCATGTATATAGAGGTACATGTTCTGTCAGTAGTTCATACGATAGCGAACGAGAAATGGTAGTAAAATTAATAGTTTTAAATGTAATATTTTCGTTTAGTTTATATTTCGTGTGTTTAATACTTTCATTTAGTTTATATTTTGTGTGTTTAAAATTTCGTTGGGGTTATATTTCGTTGTTTTTATAAAACCTCGAAATAAACAAAATTAAATCCTTAACTAAATATTATGCTTTTACAGTATATATTTTGGGCCGAAATTCAGCCCCATTCACAATCAGATTCAGACACTTGATGAGTTATCTATAACAAAACACAAGGTCATTTGAAAATTTCCTTTTAGTTGCTTTATAACAAAAAACACTTCAGAAAACCCTACATTCTTCAAAAGAAAAATAATGAGGGGTTGTGTTGTCAATTTGTAGGTGGCAGTTCCTAAAATGCCAAGGAAAATACCTGTTGTCATTGTTTATACTGTAATGTGTTTGTCAATTATCATAATTACCTTTCAGGAAAAGCCGCTATCGAAGTCCTTACAGAGAGGGGAAGATGCTCAATTTGATCAAGTAAGCTCGGGTGTCTTGTCAGCAAGACATCAACTTTTCTTCTGTTGACAAAATTAAATTCCGATGTACATTTGTATAACTGTGTCTGTATACAAACAGGGCCTGCTAAAAACCCTTGTTTGTTGTCCAATTAAAATTATTTAACCCTTTCATCCCTATGTAACTTTAGTAGACTCTAGATCTACTATGCATTGATCTGGATGAGTTCATTCTGGTCTACAGTGGCGGAAGGGTTTAAATCATATTTTTGACTTGATGTTTTTGTGCATAATATCAATGAACAGTCATATTACTGAACCACAAATCAGTGAATACCAAGCATTACATTTTTTTCTTCTTTTTTTTTCTATGTCTTTATGAGTAATAATGTTTAAACGAGAATTACAACAAAAATATCTCTACTTCCAAATTCAGAAAATAACATTGATCAAATTGGTTGCCAATTCAATCCAATAATTGTCAACATTCTTTCTTCAAAGAAGTACAAAAAATGTCACTTTTACCATAAGAAGAAAATCTTAAACATTGTTCTATGTATCTAACTCTAAGCTATTGTATATGTTCTTCAGCTTTAGATAGTTGGTCATGTAGTTAGCATTGTAAAAATCGGAAACAATTGGAATTCTTACCATCAATTTGTAGTGATTTTAGTCCAATTTGGGCTGCAGTCTCCACGGATAAACAGTATGCCCCCACCCCCAATTTTTTATCCAAAACTCCCTTATCGAAGATTAATTTATTTATTTGAATTTACTCTGTTTACTGTGTTGTGATGCTTTTAATATTAAAATGAAAGAAATACTTTGGTAAACAATTGATTTTTAAGAAATAAAGATATTTATGTACAAAAAAAGGCACATTTAATAGGATGAGTAAAAGTCACAATTTTATAATATTAAAAAAAATACTGAATCAAAATTGATAATTTATGTTTTTGTATGAAACAGCTCCTGAACTCTTTTGGCTGTCTGGCTGAGCAGTGTTTACCTTCCATTCTGCGTAGTCTTTTCCGTTGGTTTGAACGTCAAAATTTGATGGACGAGTGTTCCCAACCAGACACTCGACAGCGACACAGGAGTAAGGGGTAAGTTGTATTACACAATACACAAAAGACAAGTTTTGATAGTTAAGAATACTTATCTAGATCTTCAAGTTTACAAGTTTCTTGGTTCCCTCAGAAACAATACAATGTACAACATGAGGTATCAGAGTAAAACAATACACATTTAAAAATCTGCTGAATACTGATATCAAAGTTTTACTTTTACACAAATAATGTATGTATTAAATGTGTCGCAATGTTTTAAGACTGACTGGTCCCTTTGTCAAGTTACGACCGAGTGAGCGATTTGTATTATTTACCTATTCAATGATGTGATGAAATTGTATGTTTTTCATGTCACTCGACCCGAGACGTTACAGGTAGGGTGTAGATCTAGCCCCCTCCCCTGTTATATGTCAGTATCGGGTCATACAGATACAGTACAGGTAAATAATACAAATCGCACACTCAGTCATAGCTTGACATAGGGACCAGTCGGTCTTGCTCACTCAGTCATAGCTTGACAAAGGGACCAGTCTCTCTTGAAACTTTTGATATCACATATTTCCAAACTTATCAATCTTATTGAAGATATCTGCTGAATACTGTCGTAAAAATTAAGATGGTATTTTTTAAATGACGTGATCTGGTAAATGATGCATTGACTGTTGATTTATCGATGTCTGTTACAGAAGTAAAGACTTCCTCTGTGAGAGAAGAGATGTAAGTATAATCGTTATAAACTCTGGTCAATCTGAGCTCTGTTCTTTAAATCTGACTTTGATCGTGCCTCCTCTAAACATGTACTAGTAAATATACTCCCTCTTAACTGGCACTGGATCCTGTCTTGGTCTAGCTCGGCCGTTTATACAGTCCGACCTACCATACAGGAAAGTGATCGGTTGATCAGTTATTGCCACCTTAACCAGATAGATACAGCTACATGTAGGTAAACATTTTAGCACTCATGGATGTTGATTATAACAAGATTAACTTTTGTTTTAGTGATATGTAATGTATTTGTGTCAGTCAGTTATTCTGCTTACCTGTGGCAATAGGAGGATGCGGTGGCCAAGTGGTTAAAGCGTCTGACATTCTGCTACCACTAGCCCTCCACCACTGGGTCGCGGGTTCGAGACTTACGTGGGGCAGTCGCCAGGTACTGGCCGTAGGTCGTCGGCTTTCCTCCACCACCAAAACCTGGCACATCCATAAATGATCACCATAGCTGTTAACAAGAAGTCTTTAAAAAACGTCTGAATCCCAATGGTGTACGGTTTTAGACAGAGTCTGCTTTATCTCTAATTTATTAACAACACTTTGTAGATAATCGGTTTATTAAAAGCTTACATGCAAGTGTATGTTTAGGATAAACTCTATTGTCTTGATATATGCTACTTGTTTGATGGGACATTTAAAGGGACATCACGTGAAAAGGCGTTTTTTTTTAATGAATGTATGTATTGTATGCACTTCCACTTATGTTACCTCGCTATCCCATATTCATAGTCCGTTCCAAATGTCCAGTTTGACCACTTGAATTGTTCGGGAAAGCCCTGCTAAAAATAGCGCCGATAACGTCACCTGACTAGGCAGTAAACACAAGTGGTGCGAGCGAGATGAAACGGTTTCCAAAGGGGCCCCCAGAGAGGGGCCGTCAGGCAACTGCAACTTCTTACCGCACTATGAAACCAAGTTATATGATTTCTAAGTGATTAGTCCGTATTCAAACTTATTGAACAGTAATTATTCATCATTAGAAGTTAATTGCACACTTGCCAATGTTCAGAATTTAAATTTATTTAGCTTTAAACATAAATGTGTTGCCAATAAAATTAAACAAGGGATGGGGCACAAGTTTTTACAATTTATCACAGCCTTCTCCCGTCATACATTTACAATTAAATGTCAACAATGATAATAGGCATAAACATAAAGTAGATATATTTAAATATATATTGAATTTAGTACCGGAATGTGGCCGGTACAGATGGTACGGGGCTAAACACCTTCCCTACACCAAGGGACAAACCTTTCTGATTTTTTTTTTATATATTGCCGGGGCAGAGGAGGCCGGGTATTCATATTAGTACTAATTTAAATCTTGCATGTAAAAACAAAAATAATCGTTTAATTCAGCAATATAATTAAATCATACCATTTTATTGAACCCGGTAATATTATAAATTATGTAAATCCACGGACTTAGATAACACGTATCTCGGTGACCCAGAAAATACGCCGTGGGCCATCACAACAGTTATCCCTTGGAGGGCCTCATGGAAAAATCAAACTAACCAGTCACTTATCCCTTCCTTTCGCATAAACCACTGTATAATTATAGAAACACAAAGTAAACTCTCTCCAATACATGCCCATTAACATATTAAACTAAGTTCATCTGTGTTCAAACTCAGACAAAGATACTAGCGAGCTTAATAGTTTTAGATATTTATTCATAACATAAACAGCGCTAGCATTTCTGTCGATTCCATTTCAGCTTAACCGGCTATCCGGAAGAATACATGCACCGTACTAACTGCTACGGCAGTTATTTTCTCCTTTGAATACTGCCCACCTGCAATAATGATTCCGTAACGTACTCCTTGCGCTATCTTTTGACCATTTGGCAACTTTTCGTTTCGTAGCTGACACGGTACAACACTTTTCTTTCGCTTACTTCACACGGCCAGTCATTTTGTTTACAGAGGAATTGTGTGCTATGTGCATGCGCTAGTAGAGGGAAATCCCTGAACAAAACGTTGGTCAGACAGGTAGAAATACCGATGATTTTCTTGGATTTGATCATTTTTATGAATCTATTTCAGCCAAATCCGATCGTTATTTTCCATAAGGAGTCTCACTTGTGATGTTTATGTAGTTTTTGAAAAAAAGACAAAAAATAAAGTTACTTCACCGTGATGCCCCTTTAACTCTTTTTATACTTTACACACTTGTTTGCATGAACTCAGGATTTTTTTATATTCAGTCACTGATACCATATATGGCACTCTGAGGACCGAACAGACGATTTTGTTATGCCAGCGTTATCGTATGAGTTAATTTTTTATCTGTTATTTGAAAAATAAAATGAACCATTTTCTTCCAAATGTACAATGTGCTATTGTTGATATCGAAGATGTAATATATGTACTGTTAATCCTGATGACCTCTGTTTTCCCAGCTGGCTGTGGAGTTTGTGTACTGTCTGGTGTTGATAGAGGTGTTAGCCAAGGTCAGTATCTATAGGGATTATTTTAAAGTAACATCTCCATGCAGTTATGAACCTATATATGTTTTGTTAGTTTTAACATAGCGTTTGTAACATATCAATGTTTTACTTTTTACACAAACAATGTACGCATCAAATGTGTCGCAATAGTTCAAAACAATCGTTTCATGTCAAGCTATGACTGATTGAGTATACGTAATTTGTACTGTTTAGCTGTACAACAATGTAACGCAAAGTTGTAAACTTTATATGTCGCTTGACAACGGGACGTTTCGTCTCTCAACAGAGTGTATACAAACTGTATCAAATAGGTTACTGGTAGGGCGTAGATCTAGCTCCCTCCAGTTTAGGTCAGAAGTGGGTCATACAGATGACTAAGCTGGTGTCCCCCTCATCTCTGTTAAGACACTGACTGATTTTGATTGCTTCTTTATAATTAATTTGTCTAGTTTTCGTATGTTGTTCCACTACTTTGTCAATGTGCCAATTGACAATATGATTTTGGATGTTAATTTGGTCAGAGGAGCATGACCTTTAAGTTCTCGTCAATGTTGCGATCAACATGCTTTTAATACAAGAATTTTCATTGAATTACTTTAAATAGTCTGTGACGCTGTAATTGTCAATAGATTACACAGATGTGCAATATTAATTCAGTGATAAAAAAAATTGCAAAAAACACCCATTTCATAATTCATTAGACTTTATTTTCATTATTCTAAATCGATTCTTTTTTGAGAATACATGTCTTTGAGATTGGTTTTAGAGTGGTTATCTGCAAGTTCATCAACTTCATTTGAAATGAAACTAATTTGTTGCTATACATTCCAGTTGGGTTTCCATCCAGGACACAATGATTTAGTGACCTACATTATCACACAGGCTTTCCGACACTTCAAGTACAAGGACGGGTGAGTGTGGTATTCTTCATCAATTCAGCATTCAGTCAAAACAATTTGTTATACAATTGGCAAAAAAACCAGAAATGATGCGTCCATGCTTCAAAAACTGTAACATCTCTAATGGTACTCCAGACTAGGTTAGCAAATCAATAAATGTTTGTTATGATGACAGGAATATGGCATATATATGGTCTGCACATTATCATCTATTTTTGGTAGTGCTTTGGCTCAGCTCACAATCATGATCACTTGTGCTGTTTGCTGACCGGCAAGCAGATAAAGTGTTTTGTGATGACGTTGATAAAAACTTGATGAAGCGGTACATGTTTTGTTTAATGAAATTTAAAACTTGGTGCCAATTTGACTCTTTAATTTGACAGTTCAATATCTTATACATGTATATGAATATACTTGTATTAGGAGATCTGGTAACTCTCAGGTAATTGTGATCGATTAAAACTAAGTGACATATCTTTAATAAAAATTCCTTTGCCTAATGTATAAGATAGTGCATATTTTCAAGGCTACTTGCTTCATTTCAGAATACAGACCAACCCAAATTCTGGGAACATCAGTATCCTGACTGACCTATACTCGGAGGTCATTGGTGTGCTTGTCCAGTCAAGGTAGGTCAGGGTTCAGGGGTCATACTTGTCATTTTCTTGTGCCATACTTGAGTAAAGGAAACTGTATTACTGGTTTGGGCTACAACGGTCTGTATAATCCATCAGAATTTTAGCTAAGACTCCCAGATAAAATTGAATTCTCTAATAGGCCCTAATTATACCCGAAACCACTTAATACTTTACCAAATACTATCCAACCAAAACCCCCCACATTTGACAACATCATCTAAAAATGGTCTTTCTTAGTGGGGAAAATTCTTGTAGTAAACATAATACATGAAAAATTATCTTTAATTTTAGTGATCTAATATCGTAGGTCCCGATAGCTAGATTTGTTATAATAGCAGGTGTTGCGTTGTTGGTAACATGAAACTTATCGAAACTAAATTTTATCTGTAAAATTCTGAAAAGTTTGGATGTCATAAAAAGTTGTCTTTTTGTACAGGTTCACAGCTGTCAAAAAACATTTTATGTCCGAGTTGAGGGAGTTAAAAATACGTGACCAGACTCCATATACCGCACAGAGCATCATCAGTCTGCTCACCAGTCTGAAGTACTTCAAGGTCAAGGTAGGTCACTACCATGTTAGCGTTACATTCAGGTGCCTCAAGGTGTTCGTATATTTAGGCCATTGCAAAGTACAGGTATTGTCATTTTAAGATGCATCAGGTTTATAATAAACTATATTAGGTTGAAGCGCAACGTTGATACAATTTTCAGTAGTACTTTTATTGTTTTAAAAAGTTTTCAAAACAAATTTTGTGTCAAGTTTTCAGATCATTTTTCATGCCTTTTGATAATTGAAATACATCAAATATACATTGTTATTTGACACATTAGCTAGTTTGAGTTTGTGAAGTACCTTTTATTATTGCAATAATAGATTGCAATAGTAAAATTATGGCAATAGCATTTTACTATAATGACAGTTTATAAAATTGTCAATACATTATAGTAGTTATTCCAAATGTTAGGTCATCATTGTGGAAATGAAGGTCATGGCAGTCGTTGTTTAATGGTCAGCATTTAAATCGTTTGTTCCTTAAAAAGGACACCATTTAGTACTCAATCAGGTCTGGGTCAGTTATCTTCCTATAAAGCAGGACAGTTCTATTCTCTTATATAACCCTGGACAGGTGTATCCGCACTTTTACCGGTGTGAGATTTCCTTGTCTCCCCCTAGGGTTGAGACGGGGGGATTCCCCTATGCATAACAATGGTATGACGTCACTTCAACAATACAATGTCACGTCAACAATCCATCAAAGTCACGTCAACCCAGAATTTAGCATGTAACATTATCATTACATTGTGTATATGATACACATTAGGAGAACAGGGTAAGAGAAAAAGAATCATTCACCCCTTTGTGGGTAAGATCGAGGAATCTCAACCCTCGGGGAAAGATTCTTAAGTTGCCAAACACAACCCTCGGGGAAAGATTCTTAGGTTGCCAAACACTTGGCAAAGCCTCGTGTTTGACAACATAAGAATTTTCCCCCTCAGGGTGAAAGATTCTATTATTCTGCAACAATGATAGTAAGCCTTGAATCTGTTTCGTAATATAATTTACGTCTTTTGTTTTTTATTCAGATGCATCCCATAGAGGACTTTGAGGCATGTGTTATGTTCCTACAGGACCTGGGACATTACTTTCTAGAGGTGAAAGATCGTGACATCAAGCATGCAGTCGCCACCTTGTTTGTTGATATTCTACTGCCTGTGGCCGCGGTGAGTGTTGCAGTCTTACTGACAAAGATGTCATTCTTTGACAATTTTAAGGAAGGAGTCGTGCTGTATTGTTTTCAAGCGTTATTTTCATTAAATCGCTCAACAAAACATAGAGAGTGTGAAAGAAAGGGTAATTATATCCCATTTCTGTTCATAATTAAATTTTGATTATTTGCAAGCTATATCATGGCTATAAAGTTTCTATGAGTCGATACAGAATGAACTTCTGCAGGAAGAGTAACATTTACCTGTATTTCCACATGTGTAGTAAGTAAGTATTTAAATAAACATTGATGTCGTATTTGAATTGGCCGCACATGGATTTGTTTGATTAAAATTTTAGCTACACTTGATGGAGCAAGCTCATATTACATACTAAAAAGAAAAAATCATTATATGGGCACTGATCTTTTGAGTTGATAAAAAGTTTATAATTTAAGGAAGTTTCTTTTGATAACTTTTGTTACAGGAGAAATAACTAGAATACTCTATAGGTTTCCAACAGTGAAATATTGTTGAAACGCACCTGGAAGGGATCTCTTAATCAATGATATTAATTGTGATATAAATATTATTTTCAATAAAATATTCCTTCTTTTATAAGAAGAATGTGTGGACAGTTTCAATTTTAATATTCAAACTATGATTATTGTTCAAAACATAAATTAGGGACTGCGGTGGCCGAGGGGTAACAGCGTCTGACATTCTGCTACCACTCGTTCTCCACCACTGGGTCGTGGGTTCGAGAACTAGGTTGGGTAGTCACCAGGTACTGGCTGTATGGTCGGTGGGGGGGTTTCTGGGAACTCTGGCTTTCTTCCACCACCAAACCTGGCACGCCCTTAAATGACGATAGCTAGGAAGTAAAACACAAACAAAGTAAACCAAATCAAAATACAATGTATTATAATTCCAAATTTTGTATAATAATCATGCTTAATGATGTCCTTTTCAATTTCTTGCAAACCTTCTAGACGGCAAAAAACGAGGTGAATGTACCTGTACTGAAGAATTTGGTGGATATGTTATACACGCCTGCCTTGGACCTGACAATGAAGAAGAAACACATGTTTGTGAGTTCATCATGTACACTGAACATATGTCCTGATTGGTAGAAATGTTCCTTAACCCTTTCATCACTGTAGACCATAATGGACTCATCAATATCAATGCATGGTAGAGTCTACTGAAGTTACATAGGGGTGAAAGGGTTAAAGAATACAGCCTTAATAAGCTGTGAGATCTGGAGGGTTTTACATCATCATTTGTATCCCAGTGTGTCTATAGACATGGGTTGCCTGGATTCTTGGGTATGTGGTAACTTGTGTTGGACCTGTAAACAGGGCCCTAAAGTATTTGTATAGTTATTGTTCATTTCAGGGCAGCACTGGGTAAAGTTTTCACTTGTCTGTTCAACAATTTGTGTTATATGTAATATGTAATTGACATAAAAAACATAAAGAGCAGTAAAGGAGATATCTTCAGCAAGTCAGTACTGTTCTTTTATGAAGAAGAAAAATAATACGAGCAACTGAGATATAAACATTATATCTAGGTCTTGAATCTAACACAACATTTTCTATGTGTTTATTTATTATTGCTGTTATATTTGTAGCACTGTTTCCCCCTGGTGACATGCCTATTGTGTGTGAGCCAGAAAACATTTTTCCTCAACAACTGGCCGTACTTCCTTACCACACACTGTCTGTCACAGCTAAAGAACAAGGACCAGAAATTATCACGCATGGCGCTTGACTCACTTCACAGACTTCTATGGTGGGTTTGCATGGAGGGGTCATTTTTTGGGAACACCGGGGTATAGGCTGGGCTTTTGAAAAACAGTGGGGTGGTACTCCAATTGGAAAATAATTATCCTAGCCTCATGTATGGAGGCACCGTAGTCTAGTGGAAGGATGTCGGGCTCGTGACTGAAGGGTTGCGGGTTCGTGTCACGGCACTGTGTTAAATCTTTAAGCAAGATACTTTACTCCGCTTGTTCCAGTCTACACAGCTGTAAATGAGTATGTGGTTGGGCAGTGCTAGAATTATAGAATGCTAGCTGTGAGTGCCGAAATGGCAGCACCGGCTGTATGCTCCTCAGGGAGTTGAAAAAGATATTGGCTGGTTGCAAAGGCCCCATAACCATGAAAAATAATTTGTGAATAAAAAATGAGACGACATTATTATTATTAATCATGTAAATTATTTTTCATACAATTTTTTAGTCTGCAGTAAAGCTTTAAGAAAGAATGTGTTCATTATAATTCAAGATGTAACTGTGTTTGTTGTAATTCCAGGGTGTACATGGTGAGAATTTAGATGTATCTGTGTTTGTTGTAATTCCAGGGTGTACATGGTGAGAATTTAGATGTTACTGTGTCTGTTGTAATTCCAGGGTGTACATGGTGAGAATTTAGATGTATCTGTGTTTGTTGTAATTCCAGGGTGTACATGGTGAGAATTAAGATGTATCTGTGTTTGTTGTAATTCCAGGGAGTACATGGTGAGAATTAAGATGTAACTGTGTTTGTTGTAATTCCAGGGTGTACATGGTGAGAATTTAGATGTTACTGTGTCTGTTGTAATTCCAGGGTGTACATGGTGAGAATTTAGATGTAACTGTGTTTGTTGTAATTCCAGGGTGTACATGGTGAGAATTTAGATGTAACTGTGTTTGTTGTAATTCCAGGGTGTACATGGTGAGAATTTAGATGTAACTGTGTTTGTTGTAATTCCAGGGTGTACATGGTGAGAATTTAGATGTAACTGTGTTTGTTGTAATTCCAGGGTGTACATGGTGAGAATTTAGATGTAACTGTGTTTGTTGTAATTCCAGGGTGTACATGGTGAGAATTTAGATGTAACTGTGTTTGTTGTAATTCCAGGGTGTACATGGTGAGAATTTAGATGTAACTGTGTTTGTTGTAATTCCAGGGTGTACATGGTGAGAATTTAGATGTAACTGTGTTTGTTGTAATTCCAGGGTGTACATGGTGAGAATTTAGATGTAACTGTGTTTGTTGTAATTCCAGGGTGTACATGGTGAGAATTTAGATGTAACTGTGTTTGTTGTAATTCCAGGGTGTACATGGTGAGAATTTAGATGTAACTGTGTTTGTTGTAATTCCAGGGTGTACATGGTGAGAATTTAGATGTAACTGTGTTTGTTGTAATTCCAGGGTGTACATGGTGAGAATTTAGATGTAACTGTGTTTGTTGTAATTCCAGGGTGTACATGGTGAGAATTTAGATGTAACTGTGTTTGTTGTAATTCCAGGGTGTACATGGTGAGAATTTAGATGTAACTGTGTTTGTTGTAATTCCAGGGTGTACATGGTGAGAATTTAGATGTAACTGTGTTTGTTGTAATTCCAGGGTGTACATGGTGAGAATTTAGATGTAACTGTGTTTGTTGTAATTCCAGGGTGTACATGGTGAGAATTTAGATGTAACTGTGTTTGTTGTAATTCCAGGGTGTACATGGTGAGAATTTAGATGTAACTGTGTTTGTTGTAATTCCAGGGTGTACATGGTGAGAATTTAGATGTAACTGTGTTTGTTGTAATTCCAGGGTGTACATGGTGAGAATTTAGATGTAACTGTGTTTGTTGTAATTCCAGGGTGTACATGGTGAGAATTTAGATGTAACTGTGTTTGTTGTAATTCCAGGGTGTACATGGTGAGAATTTAGATGTAACTGTGTTTGTTGTAATTCCAGGGTGTACATGGTGAGAATTAAGTGTGAGAGTAACACAATTACTCACAGTCGCCTACAGAGCATCGTCAGCAGCCTGTTCCCTCGGGGCTCCAAGGTGGTCACCCCAAGGGACGTGCCCCTAAACTTCTTTGTCAAAATAATCCAGTTCATTGCAAAAGTAAGTTTTACACTTAAGTTCTCAACTTCATTTTCAAGAAAGTGAATCAATTAATTGCAAAATTACACCCCGCCCCTTCAACATAGCCATCAGAGTCATCTTCAGAAAAGGTCATATCTTTGTTAAGATAAGCATATTCACTGCAAAAAAGGATAAACCCTTCAATCTCAGAAACACTTCTTAAAGATAAATGAGGAAACTTTACGTACAAGATAACAATGTTATCATGAACCGTTTTTACAAACAGTGAAGTGATTTCAAATATTAAATCACTTGAATCCTACTAAAATCAACATCCGTTAACCAAAGTTCTTAAAAAATGGTAGTTGTTATTCCCTGCTTAACGTTCAGCATTTAGGGTTATCGCAACAGCTGGTTTACCTGTTGTCAGTATAATGTGACCTGGTTGAATACTGTACTGGGTGCCTTCGTTAGTGTAATTCAGTGAGGTAGCACTCTAAATTCGGTATCAGATCCGCGCTATCGCAGGGAGGCAAATACATCAACATACTCTTCCTCAAGCACACATACATACAAGCACACATACATACAAACACATGTATGGAAGCACGTCCTTATATGACCTTAGCTGTTAATATAACATTAAACAAAATAAAACCAAACCAAACCTTAATAATCGAGCCAGTCTATGTTCACAGTAGTTAATCAAGCCACCCTTATTCCCATTAATTGTCTAGTCACATATATTTCTAATTGATAGTCCAGATACATTCGTTTGCAGAGATGGTCCAGCATCTCAGTTTCCTGCAGAAAATCCAGCTACATTTTTTCCCAGTAGATAATCCAACATCTCTCATTTCCAGATGATGGTCATACCACACCGTCATTCCCAGTAGATAATTCTGCCACCTTATATATTCCTAGTAGAAAATCCAGCCATTCTCATTCTTAGCAAAAGTGTCTGGATTAATGTGAACAATTGGATTACTGAAACAGTTTTCTGGTCAGTCTGTTCCTTAATTAAAACACTGGCTGTATGATGGAACATTAGTAGTGACAGATTAAAGTAGGCCTGACTTGATACTATTGTGATGTAATTACAGGAGAAGCAGGACTTTGCTATGAAGGAGATCATATTTGACTTGCTTTGTGTGGGACGGTCAGCCAAGATTCTTACACCAGAGGTAAGCAACTTAACAAAGCCAGGTCATATACTGTTAACATACTTCTATTACCTGATAGTACACTTAACGCTTAAAAAAACCCAGTCATATACTGTTAACATACTTCTATTACCTGATAGTACACTAACGCCTAACAAAGCTCGGTCATATACTGTTAACATACTTCTATTACCCGAAAGTACATTCTGACTTTTGCAAGTCGTTAAGGCATCTGACATTCTACTACCACTAGCCGTCCACCACTGAGTTGCTAGTTCAAGACCTACGCGGAGCAGTCGCCAGGTACTGACCATAGGTCAGTGGTTTTTCTCCTGTAATTCTGGCTTTCCTCACCAACAAAACCTGGCGCATTCTTAAATGACCATAGCTGTTAATAGGACGTAAAACACAAACAAACCAAACTTTTGCAGATCTGCAACAGTTTTGATAGCTTTTCACATTGTTGTTTAGCAATACAAGCTGTCTGTGATATGCTTAAGTACAGTGATTCTACATTTATATTCAGGTTCAAACTTTTGATAAGAACATGTTATGGTATAAGGGGATGTCTATGATCTGTCTAACCGATCATCTATCCACACTTTGGTTTCCATGTCAGTTTTCGTAAATATCATTCAATCGCTATGAATCTTGGTACACAATAATACCATTAATATGAAATGATGTTCACATTAATGTGTAATGTAGTTTACCTTGAAATATTTGACATGAATTTCTTACGACTGTCCACAGCGGATGAGCATTGGTCTACGTGCATTCCTGGTGATTGCAGACAGCCTTCAACAAAAGGATGGCGATCCTCCAATGCCACAGACTCAGGCTACACTGCCCTCCGGAGCCACAGTCAGGGTCAAGAGAACATTTCTTAATAAGAAGCTGACTGACCAGATGGCCAAAACCATAGGCCTGGCCCAGTATTACCCACACATGCTCAAGGCCTTCGACTCCATGCTGCATGCACTTGACCTCCAGGTGGGGAGACAACACTTACTAACCAAGTCAGAGAATGTCAACAAAGAGCCGGATGACCTAATGATGTAAGTTAGCTGCGCCATTGCAGGATTTACACGCTGTCAAGAAAAGAAAAAAATGAGGATGATGATAATTTCAGGCGTTGATATGTGTGAATGTGTGGATGTGTGTTGATGTGATGTTTTGTATAGTGTACATGTTCTGAAAATCTTGAAAAAGAAAAAGAAAAAAAAGATAAAGAAAAAAAACAACACCCCCACTCCATCATATCATGGTCTTATAACAGCTGCAGATGGTGCTTACGGATTTGCCCAAGCCAAGAAATAAGTTAAGAGACATTTGTCCTTGCTCTGTAAAAATGTATACATATGTTAGAAGGTTCCTGATTGTGGGGACTGAAACAGATAACAGTAAAATCTTAAGTGATTGGAGATTTCATAACAGGTGGTAAACATCCTAAGAAATCATTGCCATGTATTGTATTGTTCCTCATTATAGTATAATTGCTATGTATTTATATGATATTTAATGTAAACTAAAAGAAATATGTGTTGTATATTTTCGTTGTTGTGTGTAAGTACTGCATGTGATAGGATTGATGATTACTTGTGGATCTCGTGGAAAATTAATACCTCCAAAAATGTAATTATGTCATAACTGTGAAGATTTCAATCCACAAAATTAGAAACTTAGAAACTTTTTAAAACAGTTAACTGATCATGCGCCATACTATTTCAGAGGAGAGAGAAAGGCAAAGATAGAACTTTTCCGAACGTGTATTGCTGCAATTCCTCGACTTATCCCAGATGGAATGAGCTGTCAGGAATTAGTGGAACTGCTAACAAGGCTTACAGTTCACCTGGACGAGGAGCTAAAGGGGTAAGTATTTGTCCTGCACAAAGAGTTAAATGAGTAATTGTTTAAACTGAAAGGAGTTGAAGGTGTGAGTGATTGTACTGGATGAGATGGAAAGAGTGACTGTTTGACTGGATGAGAAGTAAAATTTAGAATTGTGTACAAATTTAAACATATGAAGATAAATGGGGTGGAGAGGATAAGTTAACAAGTAAACGATGGAATAATAAAATCTGTTGCCTGTAACTGAGGGAGATCAGGGTTATCTCTGTCGAGGGCTAAGATTTGGTAACATCCCGACCTCGGCTTATGCCTCGGTTGGGATAATGTTACAGAATCTTAGCCCGAGACTGAGATAACCCAAACTTGCTCAGTTACAGGTAATTGATTTCTTTTCTCACACTTTGGTTCAAATGTTTTTTTTAAATTTTGACTACAATTATCCCGTCTGGGGCCGCAAATAAAAAAATGGCCTCTATGCTACTGAAGGGTCAAAATGTAGTCCGTCCATACAAACAAGACAACGTATTTCAGTGTGTAGATCATATTTTATCTACAGCATCAGATATCTAACAACATCAAAACAATACGTTTAACGACAAAACTAAATATTTATGATGGAGATTGTCAACATTACCTTACTGCGCGGATGAATACATCACAGTGTAAAACTCATGTGATAACAAGTCTGGATGGTTAGCTACATTAATTTGAGTAATTATCATTTCTTTCTGGTACAGCCATGCATTTCAGGCCCTGCAGAACCTGATGCAGGAGTCGCCACAGTGGAGGGAACATGTTGTCAAAGGTAAGGCAAGGAGGCATGGTAGTCTAGTGGTAGAACGCCGGGCTCGTGACCGGCAGGTTGCAAGTTCGAGTTACGTCACAGCACTGTGTTATATCTTTGAGCAAGATACTTTACTCCGCTTATTCCAGTCTACTCAGCTGGAAATGAGTAAGTGATTGGGCAGTGCTAGAATTGTAGAATGCTAGCTGTGAGCGCGGAATAGCAGCCGGCACAGCACCGGCTGTATGCTCCCCAGTGAGTTGAGAAAGGTATTGGCTGGTTGCAAAGGCCGTATAACCACGAATAATAATTTGTGAACCTCTTTCAGATGACCTACGAACTAGGTTGTGATAAAGCGGTATATATGAACCTCAAATTATTATTATCATTATTATTATTGATAGGTAACAAACAATATCTTATTGAATCTTTTGGATTTTAAAGATAACAAAATTTCAATTTATTAGCTTACTTGACGGCCAAGTTAGCTAAGCTATTTGGTGTTGTTTCTGGTGTTAACTGATTCTTTGAAGACACAGGTAATTTTGAAAGATTAATTATTTGAAAGTATGGATAAAAGGGTTTTAATCATATCAGGTTTATATTTATGTTATAATGGGACATTTTTGAAATTTCATTAATCTCATGAAGCAGAACAAAATTTTTAGCTTGTTTTTGGACGTTTTTTCTCTGGAAAAACTCATAACCTCATGTCTTGGTAAAACTTTGGAAAAAATTATGCATATATAAACCAGATCATTCTCAAATACCCTGATACCCCAAATTTTGTTGCTGACTCCAACAAGCACTTCTGATATTTTACAGAACTGAATTGTAGTTCCTCTGTGTAAATAATCGGTAAATTAATAGATGTTATTCTGAACTGGTTTTACATGTTATAATTGACCTGTTTTCAGGATTTGTACAGTTTGTGCAGCGTGACATCAGTGATACTAACACACAGTTGTTGGACGGTGCCCTGCGACTTCTCATGCAGCTCTTGGTCCAGTGGAAAACCAACATTGTCACTGCACAACAAAGGGTAAGGCTCTCTCAAGGGGAAATGTAATGGTCTTGTCCAGAAATTAACCATGTCAGCATCTGACAAAGGGTAAGGCTGAAAGGGTAACAGCAATGGTCATAAGGCTTGATCTAGGGGGAATGTAATGGTCTTATCTAAAAATTAACATTGTCAGCACATGGCAAAGGGTAAGGTTAAAAGGGGAAGAGCAATGGTCATAAGGCTTGATCTAGGGGGTATGTAATGGTCTTACCTAGAAATTAACATTGTCAGCACATGGCAAAGGGTAAGGCTGAATGGCCATTGGGAACAGCAATGGTCATAAGTACAAGACCAACAGTAACTTTGTACATCAAAAGGGAACAACAATGGTTGTAACTAGAAAATAAACATTGTCTTTGTACAATAACGGGGTAAGGCTCAGCTATACCGGGACGGCAATGGTTTTGATAACTAGAAAATCAACTCACAAAAAAGGGGAAGGCTCAGAGTACATAACAGTGATGTAAAGAAGGAAAACAGTGCTCGATAGCATTAGTCAATTGTTTTATTGATAGAATGTATAGGGAATCTAGCCAAGTGGAAGTCAGCAGTGACCATTATTTGCCCCTGAATAAGACAGATTTTTGGTATAGACTTCAAATGTAAATGTATGGTAATTGCTAGACCAAGTTTTGCTTTATACAGGTTAACAAAAAAAAAAAAAGTTAAATTTTAATTGGTTGTTGGAATTATTAAAAGTGTATCCCTCATTTAATTAAAGGACCATATGAACTGTTTGGACAGCTTTTGTTTATTTAGTTTAGTAGAACATGGTCAGCTGAATTTTTCTGATCTTATTGTAGGAAAGGTCAACAGGGGACAGCGCAGCCCCGATGCAGACACTGCCAGAGGCCACCAACATCCTGGTCCTGCGGGAGGTGGAGGGTCTGTCACTCGTTATGCTGTGTAGCTGTCGTGTTGTCACACGCAAACTCGCTGCTCTCCTGCTGAAGGAAGTCAGGAATATCTTCACATGCTGCCAAGCACAGGTAAAGCAGTGAGAAAAGTTAGCACGAGGATGAGAAATCATAAGAAAATTGATTTGTATTCACAACTTCAAAAATTGGGATAATTTTATTTATCACATAATCGGCCTGTTATCCAGTGAATTCACCTGTGTAATAATTTTACATACGTCACTAGTGTAATATACCCTGGAGTGTTTTTCATTGGCTGTGCCAGTCAGAAATCCTTTGTGACGTCATAATATGGACAAAGACTTGACGTCATAAATTGTGAATGGTGCAACAAAATGGCTGTGAACGTTTGATTAAGCCCTCTACATTTTGGCTTTAAAACCTGTCAAAATGTTTTCTAAGTTATGTGATAAAAAGTATCTTAAATTGGTTTTCATTTTGTATGAGCTTTTATGAAATTCGTCTCGAAGTTTTAACTTTTGTGGCCTAGGCTCGCAAAAATAAAAACTCCTTAGACTTGTTTAATAAAATCTAATATGAAATGAAAACTCATTTAAGATACTTTATGTATTTATGTTTAATGGAGAAGTTATAATATTGACTTTGGTTTAGATTTTGACTTTAATTTAGGAAATCTCTTTTTGTGAGAACACTTTTCAGAAATTGGATTACTGTCAAATCTTGATATGACTACAGTTTTTTTGACCTTATTAATGGAAAAAAACATATACTTGACAAAATACATGACTTAATGGTAACTGAGATAATTAAGTGTGTAATAACAAAAGTTGGAATGTGCTATTAATTGATAGCAAGTGATATACTGACTTCTCAAATGATCAAAGTCCTCTGAATCATAAAGAAATATTTTTTGAAATCTTGTTATCAAGGGTGATAGCTCTAACTGCTCCTGAGAGTGCAAGCTAACAAATGCTGTATATAAATATGTGTGATGTACACCTCACAGATGCCTGAGCCGTGCCTACTAGAGATGATAGACAAGGCCTGCCCAGATGTGGTTAAACGACTTCTGCCTTCGCTTCCTGCCTCGGAGAAAGTGAGTGTTGATTCTGGTATTTTATATCCAGAAAAGTTTGTTCTTTGGTGAAAAAAGTGTCAAGATTAATGAAAAGCCTATTTTGGGCCACAGTACTCAATGTTTATTGGAGGCACGGTAGTCTAGTGGTAGGACGCCGGGCTCGTGACCGAAGGGTTGCGTGTTCGTGTCACGGCACAGCACTGTGTTGTATCTTTGAGCAAGATACTTAACTCCGCTTGTTCCAGTCTACCCAGCTGTAAATGAGTACATGGTTGGGCAGTGCTAGAATTGTTGAATGCTGGCTGTGAGCGCCAAAATGGCAGCTCTGGCTGTATGCTCCCCAGGGAGTTGAGAAAGGTATTGGCTGGTTGCAAAGGCCTTATGACCACGGATAATAATTTGTGAACCACTTTGAGACGACCTACGAACTAGGTTGTGATAAAGCGGCATATATCAACCTCAAATCATTATCATTATTTATTATTTAGACAGGTGTCATCTTTATCTACTGGTTTTACACATATTTTCAAGAGGAAAAAACCTGTTAAATATTGAAAACATCAAAAATATTTCATTCTGAAAAAGATTGATACATAAATTGAAATTCAAAATAATGACATATTATATATACATTAACAGGTTTGATGATAAATGATATGGGTTGTTATTCCTATCTCCAACTCCCCATTCCACTGACCATCTTGTCTTGTTTTTTACTACAGCCTGTTCTGCTGACCTCGCCAAACATTGACCTGGCCTGGGTCATTGACCGTGCAGCCTCGGTCTGGAATCCTGTTACCAAGGAGAACAATATAGAGGAAAGGTCAGAGTCAGTGTTTTCCAAAGTTGACCCTTGGATGAGGTGTATCGCCATGTTTGTGTCCAGCGAATATGGAATGATCATTTGCCCACATGCAGTGGCTGCCTCCTGGCCCATTGTCTACACTCGACTGGTCAGCATGCATACACTACTGGACCCCAAGTAAGTGTACTTTGTCTACATAGAACTATGGCCCCTTTTGCGTATCCGGTTCAACCAGTTGAAACGGTTGAACCTGAAAGAAAATGACAGGTGCAGATCTGAACCGATTCGGCACTTTTAGATTGAGTGGTCCAGATGTGCCTGACCGAAACTAAAATGCTGACTATTGCTAGTTTGCGTTATTCTTTTTATAAAATGAGGTCACGCCACATGTAGATTTTAAGATACATTATATAATTTAGTGGACGCGTTCAAAAGGACATATCATTTTTAAGCCGCTCTTGGCGAGAGCCGAGCGGCTTATTAATTCTGTCCAGAGAACGAAATGACGGATCCACTTCCGTTACGGATGCGTGCGCATAATTCAGTCTTGCATGCTTCCGCTATATAGTTTCGTTATCGTAAATAGAAAGTAGAATCTCTGACACTCACCTGTGGGTTACTTAAAGTCTTCTGATACTCTTCTCCAAGCAATAATCTATACTTTTAATAATTGCTGAAAACAAAATGTTTATCTCCGGTGTATTCTACGAGTATTGTGGTGGTGAAATTTGTGCACTACGTTTGAGCGTTTTAGCAACTCGGATTGAGGTCTGAGGAGTGTTACGCGTGTGCAACACATATGATTCGAGAAAGCACATGTGAAGACTGTCAAGCATCGACGCTGTCTGTAGAAGGAAGAAGTAAATATATGTATTTATAAACCGTATTAGTGATGAAGTATAACCTCTATTTTGATGTTTCAAACGGGAACGTAATATGACATATCGTGCTTAGGTTGTTAACGGTAATGCTTAATTGCTCTGAGACGAGACGATATGTAAACTGTGTATGCTTGTCAAACATTTCTGTAACACAGCATGCTATTTCTGGTGTATTTATTTATGAAAGTGTAACAATTTAAGAACATTACACAACTGCCGCTGCTGTTTGACAAGAATTCGCGCTGTGTCAAAATATTATCCAATCCGGTGTAAGGGAAATAACTCTTACGTTAGTAATTAATATAAAGTCGCATTGAGAAATATAATTCAAATATATTCCAAGAACATTTTTGAGATTTTGTATATTCAATGACAGTAAATAAAGTCACTACATCTATTAATAATTATTATTCATATGAATAAATAATAAATAAAAATAAAAGTAGTACAATGTCTCTTTTCTCCATGTATTTTTCCCCCATTCTGTTAATTCTTCATTTCACAATCACAAAATGCACCTATTCTTTATTATCCATTCACCGATTGGCATTCTGCACATAAATGCTCATGTCACATCATTGGAGGATGCTAGTTAATGAAAATTACAACAATGCGTCACACTGAAAGAGGGTGAAAAAAGAGGAGAGGGAGAAATGTTTTTAAGGCATCATTTAAGAGGTGATTGATTTTGGAAATACCAAAGGCATCATCATCACATGACCTGATTTTCAATTAGCAGAATACAGAACACATATCTGAGGTATTATAGAAGATATTGATGCTCAACGGCTTACTGAAGCAATTCAATTTAAAGTGGTGAGCGGCTTAAATGTCAGACTGACATAATTCTAGTTTCTATTTTGTTATTTATCTCCGTAACGGTCCAAGTGTGTTCGTTCATTGTGGAATATTTCTGGGCCACCTGAACCGTTTCAACCGGGATATGTAAAAACCTACCTCCCAGGTCAACATATCCATAAACTACTGGATCCAAAGTTTGTCTGTCAGGGCATACCATATTGTATGTGTTATATTGCGCACATATTAATTTATGCACTTTGTTTACAGCAACATGATCAATGAATTCCGGACGTCGTCTATCTTGAGATCAGGAACTTCCAGTAAGAAACCAACAACAGAGAAAGATGTACACATGCAACTATGGCAGAACTATGTCATCCTAGCATGTTCTGTAGCACAGAAGGACAGTCTCAATTCTTACAGATGTGCTTCACCAGAGCAAGGGTAGGTTACGGGGAATAATGAGGCATGGTTTGTGAAAAAAATGTCACTATGTCAGTTCAAATTTAACAGTATCTACACCATGATCTGTGGCACATGCAACTATGGCAGAACCATGTCATTCTAGCATGTTCTGTAGCACAGCAGGACAGTCTCAATTATTACAGATTTGCTTCACCTGAGCAAGGGTAGGTTACGGGGAATAATGAGGCATGTTTTGTGAAAAAAAATGTCATTATGTCAGTTCAAATTGAACATAAATCCAAGTGAAGTATATTTACTTTCTTTATCCTTCTAGATACTCTCTGTGGTCACTAGTGTGAAATAAACACTGGACACCTATATAACCATACTGTTGGCAGTTACATTCATGAAAAGATGTTACTTGTTAATTACACAATGATCAAAATATTCACAGTACACTTTTATCATGTGCACAAATTGCTTCTTGGAATATAATTTAAATCGGTTTACTTTGTACGCATCTAATTTTCACTTTATTTTGAGGTTATGACAGTGTATACAATATGCGGATATTACTTTGGAAATTTTAGATAATAACGTGCTGAAGTTCTCCAAAGAATATATCAAGAATGCCCATTGCAATAACTCTTTTATGATGACATCAATGTACGATAATGAAATATTTCAAAAGTGTATTTATGGGTTAAGTTGTCAACATATTGTTGTAGGTCGTCCCCTGAGTCGGAGAAGAGTGACAGTCGGCAAGCCAGCACGAGTTGTACAGACCTGTTCAAACTCATAGTACCACTGATGAAGTGTGAAAACCCGGACATGAGGGACACCATTGTCAACGGTCTTGGCTATACCAATGCTGCTGCCTTCAGGTGAGTTTCAGTCTGGGCCACATTAACCCAGGTGAGTTTCAGTCTGGGCCACATCAACCCAGGCAAGTTAAGGTCTGGGGAACACTGATACATTCTGGCTTACACTGACCTGGGTGAGTTAAGGCCTGGGTTACACTGTTCAATGTGGATTACACTGACCCAGGTGAGTTACATTCTGGGTTACACTGACCCAGGTGAGTTAATGTATGGGTTACACTGACCAATTTGAGTTTAAGTCTGGGTTACACTGACCCAGGTGAGTTAGGTCTGGGTTACACTGACCAAGGTGAGTTTAAGTCTGGGTTACACTGACCAAGGTGAGTTACGGTCTGGGTAACACTGACCAAGGTGAGTTTAAGTCTGGGTTACACTGACCGAGGTGAGTTACGGTCTGGGTTACACTGACAAATGTGAGTTTAAGTCTGGGTTACAGTGACCCAGGTGAGTTACAGTCTGGATTACACTGACCAAGGTGAGTTACGGTCTGGGTTACACTGAACAAGGTGAGTTTAAGTCTGGGTTACACTGACCCAGGTAAGTTATGGTCTGGGTAACACTGACCAAGGTGAGTTTAAGTCTGGGTAACACTGACCAAGGTGAGTGCAAGTCTGGGTTACATTGACCCAGGTGAGTTACGGTCTGGGTTACACTGACCCAGGTGAGTTACGGTCTGGGTAACACTGACCCAGGTGAGTTACGGTCTGGGTTACACTGACCCATATGAGTTATGGTCTGGGTTACACTGACCAAGGTGAGTTATGGTCTGGTTTACACTGAACAAAACAAGGTGAGTTATGGTCTGGTTTACACTGACCCAGGTGAGTTTAAGTCTGGGTTACACTGACCCATATGAGTTATGGTCTGGGTTACACTGACCAAGGTGAGTTATGGTCTGGTTTACACTGAACAATGTGAGTTTAAGTCTGGGTTACACTGACCCAGGTGAGTTACGGTCTGGGTTACACTGAACAAGGTGAGTTTAAGTCTGGGTTACACTGACCCAGGGGAGTTTAAGTCTGGGTTCCACGGACCAATATGAGTTATGGTCTGGGTTACACTGAACAAGATGAGTTTAAGCCTGGGTTACACTGACCCATATGTGTTACGGTCTTGGTTACACTGACCCAGGGGAGTTTAAGTCTGGGTTACAATGACCCAGCTGAGTTAGGTCTGGGTTACACTGACCCATGTGAGTTACAGTCTGGGTTACACTGGCCAGGGTGAGTTACAGGCTTGGTTACACTGAACAAGGTGAGTTTAAATTTGGGTTACACTGACCCAGGTGGGTTTAAGTCTGGGGTACACTGACCCATATGAGTTATCGTCTGGGTTACACTGACCCAGCTGAGTTAGGTCTGGGTTACACTGACCAAGGTGAGTTACAGTCTGGGTTACACTGAACAAGGTGAGTTTAAGCCTGGGTTACACTGACACAGCTGAGTTCAGGTCTGCTTTTAATTGATATCAAAAGAGATCAGACTATTTCTGTGTTCTGATGTGCTCATTGTGGAACTTGCCCAGATATAGTAATACTGTTATTGCTTACTGACATGCAGAGTTACAAGAGCAAAGTACAGCAAGGTGAAACTTTCTCATTACATGTATACAGAAACGTTGATTATAAATTTACTGTATTGATCATGTACCTATACAGTTTTCTTGGATTTTGCAATGTAAGGCTACAGAATGGTAAGTTATGCATGTAAAATGACGATGTGAATCCTTGTGTCTTTAGGGACCTCATTGATGAGTTACTTCCCTTCCTCAAGGAGGCTATTGAGCGTAAACAGGAAACAAAGAACCGGCGCCGTAAGAAGGATACTCTTCGAGTGCAGTTGGCTCATATATTTGAACTGATGGCAGAGAACAGAACTTTTGCCCAGAGGTGAGTGTAGCAAAATAAATGGTGTAACGATACTGTTGTCTGTTGATCTAGGGACCTGTTCGTTTATGCGGAACAAATGGTACATCCACTTTTAAACGAAATCGGCCATGGTGTAATGACAGTGTCATTTGTTGTGTATGGTGTAATATCAGTGTTCTGTGTTTTCATATTAAAGATGCTTTTGTTTTGTGCTGTTACAGCGAGTCTGGTGTAATTGACACTGGCTCCAGCTGCCTGATCAAGACGTTCGTCGAGTATATAGACGGGGCACGCCAGTACCTGGAGAGCGAGAGTGACCGTGACCTGCCAGTCCTACACGACATACGTCTACACTTTAGTCGTTTTGTCCGAGAGCTAATCGCTCACACACCTGGTTAGTAATAATGACAGCTATTGTTACAACTTTTGTTACATATCATGACTTGACAATCTATCGGTGTAGATAGACTTGATCTTCTATCAAATACATAAAGATAAACTGCTAATGCAATAATACATTTATTTTTTCATTTGTGTTTTTATGCTTTTTCTTGTCAAAAATTTCTGAATTTACTGTAAAGGTAACTTAGATTTATAAAAGTATAAACATTTACTTGACTTAAATAAAGAAGACAAAACAAGGAAATTTGTAAGCTATAATCATGCGTACAATTCAAAAGGATTTCTTAAAAGGACCAAACTGAAAGGGAGCTTTTACCATGCTGGCGCATTATCCATGGTCGATCCCAGTATTTTCTTGGAAAACTTCCTCTCAAGGATAGCTATTCACAATTTAACCAAATATCGTATAAAGGTTCCTCTCATTGCTCTGATGAAGTCAATCTGATCAACACTTATTTAATATATTCAAGTATGTTAAGCATTGAATTACCCTATGATGTAGATACGAGTTCACCTTCCTCACAAATGATTTAAAGAAATATCAAATTATACAGGCACTGTTGGCCTCTTGTTTGTAAAAGAAAATGTTACGTTTACACTGTAGGTTTCTCGTTTATATATATATAAGAAACTGTTATACTTACCCAGCGGAGTTCAAGAGAAGCCTGCTGACAAGAGACTTGCGGTATAGCTTATTCCACCTGTTTGCGAGCTGGAGTGGAAAGTTTAGTCACACAATAGGAGACACTTTGGATAGGAGGTGAGTGGCTCGGTATTCATAGTGGCATAACAACCATATAAAGTGCCACTCAAGTCATACTTATATGATATGGTAATAAAGGATCAATCAATGGAACAGGATTGATACTACAATTTTACTTAAATAATGTAAATGTAATCATTTTAGTGTTATTTTTTAGCACCTTTCTCTTATGGACTAATTTATGAATAGTAGTTGCTATAGAAAAGTACATTTGTTCAAATAAAGAGTTAGAATAATACATATTGATTGGGCTGAAATATTTTATTTACCCTTGATTGCTAAAGTAGGAATGCGCTAAAACATTAATTTGCTATTAAATACAAATACATTGTACCATATTTCTTGGAAGGAATTATTAACTTTCATATGTATTAATGAGAGAATAATTGCCACTTACCATATAATTGATTAATGTATTTAGATATATATTAATTATATCATACATTTAAATTGAAAAGTAAAAGTTGTATTCAATTCAGCAGGAATGTAAAATGTGGGAAACTGATACATATATTGTACTTACATATTGTAATGGAAAACTAAATACCATGTTTTTTAAGGTGAATATTAAAACAGTCTTTTGTACACGATATTAGTTACCAACTTGCAATTTAATGTATATCAATGATAACATTCATTTGATCGACAGATTCAACAAGGATGAGAGCTGTTCTGAGCTAGAGCTGTCGGCTGTGAGAGCCATGTCGGCTGTGCTGTGTTGTGGACCGGTGTTTGACCCAAGTGGTCTGAATGATGATGGCTATATATACCAGTGGCTGGACATGCTGCTGAGCTCTCACAATGACAGGGTAAGTTTACATGGCGACATGTTCTACACTAGCCTACCTTCACTGCCTGGTGATAATCATAAAAAAAAAATTGGGAAAGGAACCATCAGAAGTAGAGATAAGTAATATTAAAAGATAACATATTAAAACAATAAATGTAAAATTTCAAAGAAAAATGATGGATCAAGTCAACATAGATGCATAAGATTGATATTTGGGTTTAATAAACCATGGGCTGACCACCTTTTTAATGGTTGATCCTCCGACCACCCCAAAGCTGTACCACAATGTCGATAAACTTCTATCAAAACATTATATTTGATACTTATCATATGATTAAATTGGATTTAAAAAAATGTTTATATCATCAAATATACAAATGTATGTGAACACAAACAGATTGATGTAAGGAAGTTACGGTTGGTTACCTACATATTGTTAATGTTAGGACATAACTTTGGGATATTCTAGGCATTGAGACTGTACTAATATGTGTACCTGTATATCTTTGTCACCATGGCAACAGATTAAGGAGCAGGTGAGTCGATCCACTCCTGCATGGCATTGTTTTCATTGGTTCATTCCTCTTGTTGACCTTTTGCCTGCCTACTTGAGTTGAGTTCTCAGTTCTTTGAAATCATCTTAATTTTTTTTTATCATTTTCTGTCGTCGTCATATCAATCATTATCCTTGTCAAAAACTCTTCTTTATGAATTTGATTATCAGCCATCTTTTCTTGAGTATTGATTTCTCATCATCATCTTCATCATCATCTTTTTATCATCATCACTACCCAGACTGCATACACTCCTTTTTTGTTGTTTTGTTTCTCTAGGCTAGATGTTGTATTTTTGCCTTCATATCCTTTTTTGGAACGTGATTTTAGTTTTGTCGGTTTGTTTCTGCTGTATCAAGGATCACCAGTAATTCTACACAGTCATGTACATGTTTGAATTGTATTATTTTCACGAAACTTGTTACTACTTTGCTTGATGGTCTGTTTTGCTCTGTACAAAGACATATTTCTAGCATGTAGATTTTTTCTTCTGCATCAGACTAGAGATTTTCAGTCGTTATATTTGTGTGTAGACATATCTTTGTGTGTGTGTGTGTGGTTGGGTGTGTATATTTTGTCTATTTTGTTGTTTGTGTATTTCGTGTGTTTGTCAGTAAGGCATATTATATTATATCAAATATATTGCTGTAGTCTCACAAGTGAGAAAATATCATAATTTTTAAACTTCGGAAGTGATATGTTAACCACCACCTGACTCTAAAGGAATCACAAGTTTCAATTCTGTATTAAATTTTACACATGTATTGTATAGTAATCAGATGGTTATGTAGAATATTGTACTGCTTTGTACACATATTGTGTATATTTAATTTTATTACATAATCATGATACAATGCATCCTAGATATCCAGGGGTTACGCTCACTTTCGCTCTCTACACCCCTGGAATATGTCATAGCAAAATTGAAGGCACAAAGATAGCTGTTTGATTGGTCTCAGGTGAAAAAAACTGACCAATCGCTAGGCTGATACCTGTCCTTTGAAGATTACAAAGGAGCGATGCCCGACTTCAAAGCCTGTCACTTTTTACCGTTCCGTTCCAAGTCTTCTTGTCTCATTAACAAGGTGGCGCACACTGAGCCTTCGATTTTGCCATGACATATTCCAGGCGTGTAGAGAGCGAAAGTGAGCGTAACCCCTGGATATCGAGGATGGATACAATGTAAGGTGTAATCCAGTGAATATACCCATGTCATATTTTTTTTGCGTACTAGCCCATGTAATATGACCTATCAGCCCTGCGGTTGGTTGTAAGTTTCAATTGTTTCAATTGTGACATCACGCCTAGAACAAGTACATGACGTCACAGACTTACGCACTGGAGTCAAAATGACGGCTTTTTACATTTACATGAAAATTGTCGTTTTACACGCATAAATGCCACAAATCTTGATTATGTGATAAAAAGGATCTTACACTTGTTTTCATTTCATATGAAATTTTTGAAACTTGTCACAAAAAAAATAATCTTTTCAGCTTGCCTAAATTGAATCATTCTTAGACTCGTTCTAAGATCTCTTATAAAATAGAAACTCATGTAAGATCCTATATGTACTGTACTACAGACAGCCTTTCTGTACCCGTTCTGAGGTCAGTGAGTCACATTTGACTCAACATGTCTGCCTGGTGTTCTGTATGAATTGTTGTTCACTTGATTCTTTTAATAGTAATTGATGCGTCATTCAAATTTACACATTTATTGAAACATAAGTAAATTACAGTATCCTATCATTATTGGACCAGTTTTAACCATCTATTATTCAGTAAGCCAGGATTATTTTACAATGTGTTTTACCTAAAAAAGCACCCCATCTCATGATCATAGCACACCTTGGCCCAAGCACCCCATCCCTTAAAATTTAATTTACTTATTTGAAAAAAACACCTTTTATCTTGTCTTATCTTTTTAATTTTAAGAAGGTCTGCAATTATTTCTATTTTCCCAAATTGTTAAGAAACTAACGGGATCATCATGCGGAATATTTTACATGTAGAATATTGGGTAGGAAAATGAAGCTTTATAGTTTTGAGTCTATAAACTCCTTCTTTATGAAGGACAATTACTATCATGTTGCCTTACACCTGTACATGTCCAACCATGAAGCTTTGTACTCTGTGTGCAGAAAAGTTAGTTTCCTCACCTGTATTCATGGTGATACAATGATTTGAATTCCTCTTTATTAGATTTCTGATTATATGCAAGGGCTTGGCCAATAGTGGTTTAAGTTGTGCTTCTTTTAACATTTTCCTTGATGTTCTTGCCTAAAACCTAATTTCGCGTTGCAGTGGGTGTTTGTACTCTACTTATAGATATTATGAATATTTCTTGTAGCAATACTAGGCTAGCCATTCAGTGAGGTATGCTTCCAGCATGCTACAAATAAACCGGATTAATGTCTCCTGTGAGTGTGTATGATATGGGTTGTCCACCGGAACGGTTACAGATTAATGCTGTCTCTTGTGAGTATGTATGATATGGGTTGTCCACCGGAACGGTTACATATTAATGTCACTTGTGAGTTTGTATGATATGGGTTGTCCACCGGAAGGGTTACAGATTAATGTCTCCTGTGAGTGTGTATGATATGGGTTGTCCACCGGAACGGTTACAGATTAATGTCACTTGTGAGTGTGAAGGATATGGGTTGTCCACCGGAATGGTTACAGTTTAATGCCTCTTTTTTGAGCGGAAGGATAAGGGATATCCACCCGAATGGTTACATGTCAAGATAAACCTATACATTCTACATTAATCACCTTGACACAATACCTTCTAATACAACAAGGGAACCCTTTTTTTGTATCACCTGCAACGAGAGGCGACATATAGGTATTACTTTGTCGTCGTCGTCAGTTGTGTCGTCCGAAACAAGGTTTCAGTGCGATAACTTGCGTTTCCTTGAGTTGATTGAACTGAAACTTGGTACATATATTGTATAACAATATAGCTAGTAGAAGATCGCATTTCAGAAGTTTATGTGCTTTTCTGGTGGAGTTATGGCCCTTTTATTGCCAAATAAGGGCTTTTTGTGTAAATGAAAGATTTTTTTTATTTCAAATCAATTCCTTTCATATTTTGTATGGTAATGCTTGAAGCAATAGTGTTTAACATATATTACAGGTTTTTCTGTCGAGTTTCAACTTTCCGCTTTTTGGCATATCTGTTGACGCGATAACTCAAGCCAAAACACTTTTCTTACTAAAAGCGCTGAGCAGGCGACACATCCACTCCTGTGGAATTCTTGTTAACTCTGAGAGATTGAGAACAACTTGACACCAACTTCTTTAATTAGTTTCTCCTCTCAATAATGAACTTATTTGTAAACTTTGTAACATCAGAAAGCATTGCTGTTCCTTTGCTGACTCTCATCATACACCGTAAAATAGTTCATTTGGAATGAGCATAGTATTGTTGTGTTAAGATGAATGAAAAAGTGTGGTATGAAGATGATAAAAAGATTACCTTAGATCACACCCACATAATAATAATAATTATAATTTGAGGTTCTTATATACAGCTTATCAGAACCTAGTTCATAGGTCGCCTCAAAGCGGTTCACAAATTATTATCCGTGGGCATAGGTCCTTTGCAACCAGTCAATATCTTTCTCAACTCCCTGGGGAGCATACAGCCGGTGCTGCCATTTCGGCGCTCACAGCTAGCATTTTACAATTCTAGCACTGTCCAACCACGTACTCATTTACATCTGAGTAGATTTGAACAAGCTGAGTAAAGTATCTTGCTCAAAGACACAACACAGTGCCATGCTGTGACTCGAACCCGCAACCCCTCTGTCACGATCCCGGCATCCTACCACTAGGCTACTGTGCCTCCATGCTGATGACGAGAGTGTTGTTTTCACAACAGTTGCTGAATAAAAAGTGTGATTATGCATGTGGCCTTGTGATGCTTCATCCTATGGTATTGCCTATATGGTTTTCATGCAATACACATGTAAGTGTAATGACCTTCTAATGCTAGCATTTCAGTATGACTTATCATACATGGCCACTGATGGTGGGTTTGATTTGATAAAACTTGATAAATTTAAATGTTCTATTGACACAAAAAGGCTGAAAATTGTAATACAACAGTAAAGAAGTACCAGGTATAAGAAAAGGAAAAACCCTCCAATATCTACAGGTAGTGATACACTAGGGTACACTTTTGTTTCTACCATATTTTTGGAGGTGTGAGGAGTGTTAGTTAGCCTATGACTTACAGTTCTAGTTGACATCTAGAGAGCACTATCAGAACTTCGTGAGCATGTGTTCTGTCCTACACCTCTCCACAGCATACGGACACTGCACCCTCAGACGACACTCTGCTGATGCATGACTTGTCAGTGACTGTATCTACTTCTGGTTCTACGAATCACTAGGAAACATCATTGTCAGTTTCGTGGTGTACTAGGAATTTATTTGTAGATAAATATTCTATTACAGTACCAACGAAATTGATGGAAATATTGCTTGTAATATAGTAATTCTCAAAGCTCATTTCTTGGGATTTTAATTTGTGAAAGTAATGTTTGACTTTTTTAGTGTGTGTTGGAATTATTAATCCAGAGATTTCTTAGTTTTTGCATTTGATTTTCTTTGTGACAGACAATTTTATATACAAGGTGAAACCATACGTTACTGACAGTGCTCTGTACTGAGGTGACCTTCACCTCTAGGTCATAGGTCATATAAGTGCAAAGTAAATATGCATATATATATAGGGCAACATATAAATGACACAATATTTTTCCAGGACCCAGATTTGTCGGAGATTAGTGAATGTTACGGTGTGATTATAAGTATCCAGATATAATGTTGACCTTGTTTTACAGATCTATGAGCTCGCCAAGGAAACCGTGGTCCTACTGCTGGACTTCAACCCAGACACGCAGGGACTCCTCGATTGGGTTATCGATCGGTGTTACACAGGCGCAAATGAGGTTGCAGATGGATGCTTCAATGCACTTGCAGCTGTCTTCCAAACAAGGTCAGTGTCAAGGTCATTTGTGTATTAAATGATAACAAAATGACATACTTCAAAATAGCTTCAATAAACAAGCATGATTTGTTTGTCAGCTTTTACGAAGACACTTTTATTTTTGCCTTTGTGTGATAGTCGAGCCTTGTTTATCATTTACTTTTCAAAATTGTCATAGTAATCCAGACATAGGGAACAAAGTTTGCAGGAATTTTGATTGCTCCAGCGAAACTGGTATAGTGCAGGGTAACAACAAGAATTCAGTTTCACCTCGTTAGAATGCAAACAAACTAAATCGCTGTGTAAAAAAAATGAAAACAGGAACATTATAGAAATAGTTAAAATAAGAAAAAAATCATACAGTTCTATGAGATGGCATGCATATAACTTGTAGTCCAGTGATTTATGTTGTTATGCTTGATATTACAGGGAATACCCATGTGACCATGTGGCCATGCTCAACCTGGCCGTCCTCAATGTGGGCAGTCCGCGCACACAAACACATGAGACTGCCGTACACCTGCTCCATTTACTGGACACACGCTTCTTTCAGGAGACGCCTGTCTTCACTGACTCTGCTGACGATCAAAGACAACAAAGTCTGCCGCTCAATGACATCTTGATGTCTGTGTCCTACTGTCATTCACAGATGTACTTGTCGGAGCAGTTAGCCCGCGTCCAGCCCGACCTCACAATGCCCATGTTCTCTGGTTAGTAATTAAAGGTCATCACTGGTAAGATTTGGTCAGTTAGCTTGTGTTCAATCTGACCTCACAGTGCCCATGTTCTCTGGTTAGTAATTACCGTAAAAACCCATGTAATTTGCGCACTTTTTTTCCAGAAATGTAATACCCAAAGTGGGGGGTGCGTAAAATACACAGGTATAGAAAATTTCAAGTTTTTTTCAGGAAAAGATCGACGATTCTGGAGATCGCCATCTTGGATTATTTCCCTCGGTACACGGAACTCTAAGACAAATGACGGTCAACAAATTAATTTATGTCAAACATTAATAAAAGATACATAATGTGTTGTTATGTGAGTTTATGTGAAAAGTATTATTAAATAGGTAACCGTTAACAAAAAAAGTTTAGCCAAATTCCTATGCCAGAGAATCGCCGATCAACTTACGACATTACGTTTCGACATCTCGGTGCGTTTCCCCATACTATTACGAAAATGTAGTTGTTCAATTTAAGCTCCGTTCAATGTAAGTTCTGTTACATATAGCATACGTATAGCATGTTTTTTTCCGGCTCACTTTCATGTTGATCTCGCGTCTAGCATTACGTAAACACGTGATTGATAATAACCTCGTGAATTATATCAATATTTATTAAATGAAGCATCGTAAAAATAGTCTGAGTTAACTATTTTTTTCCTTGGTGTAGATTTGAAGAGGATGTATTGATTGTCCACGCTTCTAGTATAAACATATTATTTATAACCCCTTATCAGTCAAATCAGTCTGTTGTTATGACAATGCAGTAGGGCTTCGTAATTCACGCCACGTGTTGGTGAGTAAAAAAAACAACAACACGGTCAGTCGATCGCGACTGCAAATCATTTCAATTAGTAGAGCTATTGATAACGGGTAATCACAGAGATAGTGTTAGCTAATTACTGCATTGTAATTTTTAAAAAATATCGCCAAACCACGGACTAAGATAATCTAATTCCCTGGCCAAACTGAACTGTGACATGACCTGGTTTGATGTGACGTAACCCAAGCCGCCATGATGAGCCCTTCTCACTGATCGTAATTATGATCAATAAAAGGTATCTAATTATGTCTTTCACCAGGGAATATGCACCAGCGGTTACTAAATGAATATGTAAAATATTGCTAAAATGAATTGGTGTATGCCGATATGGGCACACGTGTGTGTCAAGTGTGATCAGATCATTCAAAGAAAACAAACAACAAAATACACATTTTACGTAGTTTCTTCTTGGTTTTAAATATTATTTCACATCAATGAAAAATAAATCATAGAAATATATATATTTTTTTAAATCAGAGATCGATTTTCGGAGCATGAACATCGTTTTTTTTCTGATTTTTTGGGTGCGCAAAATATTCGAGTAGAAGCTTTTTTCCCGATTTTCAGCCTCAAAAAGTACCTGCGCAAATTACACAGGTGCGCAAATTACATGGGTTTTTACGGTAAAGGTCATCACTGGTACGATTTGGTCAGTTAGCTTGTGTTCAATCTGACCTCACAATGCCCATGTTCTCTGGTTAGTAATTAAAGGTCATCACTAGTACGATTTGGTCAGTTAGCTTGTGTTCAATCTGACCTCACAGTACCCATGTTCTCTGGTTAGTAAGGTCATCACTGGTACGATTTGGTCAGTTAGCTTGTGTTCAGTCTGACCTCACAGTGCCCATGTTCTCTGGTTAGTTAGGTCATCATTGGTACGATTTGGTCAGTTAGCTTGTGTTCAATCTGACCTCACAATGCCCATGTTCTCTGGTTAGTAAGGTCATCACTGGGACGATTTGGTGAGTTAGCTTGTGTTCAGTCTGACCTCACAGTGCACATGTTCTCTGGTTAGTTAGGTCATCATTGGTACGATTTGGTCAGTTAGCTTGCGTTCAATCTGACCTCACAATGCCCATGTTCTCTGGTTAGTAATTAAAGGTCATCACAAGTACGATTTGGTCAGTTAGCTTGTGTTCAATCTGACCTCACAGTACCCATGTTCTCTGGTTAGTTAGGTCATCACTGGTACGATTTGGTCAGTTAGCTTGTGTTCAATCTGACCTCACAGTGCCCATGTTCTCTGGTTAGTAATTAAAGGTCATCACTGGTACGATTTGGTCAGTTAGATTGTGTTCAATCTGACCTCACAGTGCCCATGTTCTCTGGTTAGTAAGGTCATCACTGGTACGATTTGGTCAGTTAGATTGTGTCCAGTCTGACCTCACAATGCCCATGTTCTCTGGTTAGTTAGGTAATCACTGGTATGATTTGGTCAGTTAGCTTGTGTTCAATCTGACCTCACAATGCCCATGTTCTCTTGTTAGTAATTAAAGGTCATCACTGGGACGTTTTGGTCAGTTAGCTTGTGTTCAATCTGACCTCACAATGCCCATGTTCTCTGGTTAGTTAGGTAATCACTGGTATGATTTGGTCAGTTAGCTTGTGTTCAATCTGACCTCACAGTGCCCATGTTCTCTGGTTAGTAAGGTCATCACTGGTACGATTTGGTCAGTTAGATTGTGTCCAGTTTGACCTCGCAATGCTCATATTTTCTTGGCAGTAAACCTGTCATGATATGAATTGTTAAACTAGCCAATGTCAATTTTGACCCCTTAATGTCCATTTCTTTGATCAGTAAAACCCTCTCTTTCTTGATTTGATCAGCTTGCTAATGTCCAGTTGACATGCACCTGCTCTTCTATCAGTGCAGCTTGTTCATGATTAATACTTTTAGCTAGTGTCTAGTCTGAATCTACAATGTTCTTCGTCACCTTGTCTGTCTCTTGTGATTAGACCATCTAGCTATCTAAAGTGAGGACATCTCATGTGGTGGTGTTGCCAGCCATTTTTACCACACAATGCAAATGTTTTCTGGTCAATACTGCCTGTTAGTGATATCTGGTACCATACTTGTATTTTTACCAGTCACTTATATATAAATGCCCTCTGATTATTGAAGTTAGGAGTCATATTTGGCTATGTGTTTATAATTGTGTGCTATTTTACAGAAATAGCCCAACGGTTCCAGACTGCCAAACCTGCAGTACGACTGATGTTGCTTAAATATCTGTTGCCATGGTTACACAATATGGAGCTGATAGATCCCTCCCTGCCACAGTCGTCTCCCTTGAACAACTTTCTGACACGGCTTCATGACACCCAAACTGACATATTCAAGCCTCCTCTCAAAGGAGAGGGCTGGGGGTCTCCAGAGGCTACCAAGATGGTTCTCAATAATCTCTTCCACCTCACGGTCAAGGTAAGTACTCATTCTGTATCTAAACTCATTCGCCCCTATAAAGACACATTTGACCTCTTCCAATTCAAAGGCTGGAATAGATCATTATCAAATTTCAGGGGTGAACGAGTTAATTATACCCACCTGTTTTCACAGTTCCCATGAAACATAGTTTCATGAATCACCGCAAAAACAGTTTTCATACTACACTGTTATATGACTAGTGAAGCAGCACCATTTTGTAATTGAAATAAATTCAATTGATAACCAGAGTATGTACAGTGTTCTACTTCTTATTACCTGTAATCCATTATTTTTAGTGACACAAAGATATAAATTAAAGTGTATGTCCAATACAAGTCTGAAATGGTGGCAAGTTTTTTTAAGGCAGAATTAAGAAAAATTTTTTAAGGCAGAATTAAGAAAAATCGTTAGGAAAATAAGGTATACAATGTTTAGCTCAGACGGCAAGAAGTGGAAAAGCATTCATCTTTCATCCATTCGTCAGCAACTTTTCCTAACTTGTGTAATCATGTGTGAGGTTTGTATTTTTGTAGTTTGGAGATGACCATCCTAAAGAGGTGGAAGATCTTTGGTCATCCCTGGTCATCTGCTGGCCAAACAATCTCAAAGTGGTCATCCATTACCTGGTCATCATCACCAACATGGCCGCCTCCGAACTGCTGCAATATGTGAGTTCTGTCAGGGGAGATAACCAGGAATAAACCTTGTAATAACATGTCCATACTGATGATGTTTTTTTGTTCGTACAGTTGATTATATTTGCAGTAAAAAAAAATGTCAGTTTCTTGTGAAATTTAGTTTTAAAATGGAAAAATATGTGAGAATTGAGTTTCTATGTTATGTGACTCTGTTTTAAATAAAGAAGTCATGTTTCTCTATGACAATCACTAAATATATCACCAAACCTTCACTAGGGCATTAAATCCTGGGTGTACTGTGATGTAAAGACCTTTGGAAAACCATGCATTGAGCATGTTTATGAACACTGCAGATGCAGTTCTATAGCATCACTTCTTCAGGTTTTCTTCACAATCACGGCAGGCAGAATATAAGCACCATTTCTCAATTTGTGTCTTCAGGGAAAGAACCTGTAGAGTAAGCAATGAAAAAATGCCAAATAAACAAAACAAAAAAATATCTACCAGCTTAACTCATTCACCCCTGAAGACACATTTGAACTCTCCCAATTCAAAGGTTGGAATAGTTCATTATGACATTTCAGAGGTGAATGAGTTAAAAAGGCTAAATTTGGACGACAAATCAGTGCTCAATTTTCTTCTTTCTAAAGACAGGACTTTTTTATAGTTTAATTCTTCCTTTGACTAGGCCAAGCGTGTGGTGAGCTACCTTGGGCGTGCCAAGCCGGAGCGTCTGGTCGACGAGCTGATGAACGAGCTACAGACAGTGGAAACACTCAATATGAGTATAGAACGCACACAGACCCCGCCCTTTTTCCGCCTCTCTCAGATCAAGAAAAGTTTGCTGCACATCAACACAACTGACGATGAAAAGGTGGCCACACACTTCTCTGACCACCCACTGGAGAAGGGAACACTACACACCAAGAGGCACAGTGCTAATGATGACCTGCCCAGTGAAAGGTACACAAGCAACCAAATGACAGTCCGCATGGCTTTCATTATGCAGTCTTTCATGTGGAATGATTTGACTTACGAATTTCAGCACATGCTGCACATCAGGTAGAAAAATCAATGTAGAGGTTATGAATAAAATAATAATCTATTGTTATAATGAAAAAAGTTACTTCCATATGTTCTGTTCACAGTTTTGGTGAACAGGTTGCAAACTTGCGATCTCCATTCTGTCAAATAACAATTTATTGTATGACATTAATGAGAGATATCATTCTTTGACAGCAGCCCTCGCACAGATTCCACCCCCTCTCTGAGGAGTTCGTCCAGTACCTCGTCCAATCCAGATCAGTTCCTGATGGGTAGGTACAAAGTAACACATGACCTAGCATGCTTACAACCCACCAGGCATTGAAACCCTGTTTTTTTTTTAAATCTGACTTTAAATCTTAACGACAGGTTTCCAGTATATATATTTTCATTATTCACCTTTGAAGTTAAAGTTTTGACTTTAGAGTTTTGTAAACATACTTGTTTAGTGGCATCGCTATTTTTTTCACTTTTCACAATAGTTTTAACCCTTTCGCCACTGTAGACTATAATGGACTCCTCCAGATCAATGCATGGAAGAGTTTACTGAAGTTACATAGGGGTGAAAGGGTTAGAGAGCTAAATTAGCATAACTGCTGAATGTACAATTACTGCTGTATTACTTCATCTTGTAGATGCATATAGTGCTAAATCAAGATGCTGTCACTTGGAAATTATCATTCATACATTGGAGGCCCAACCCTAATTTGGTACATCTACCACATTTGACGTCTAGTATTTCCAGATTCAAACCATCATTCATCATAAAACCGGCAACATCGCAAAACTTACCCATGTATTGATCTGCCACATACCGTAAATATTTGCATATTGTGCATAGTGCTCAGGTACTTTAACGGTGAAAAAATGTCTAGCTGGACTTATAGTGATTGGCTTTTTTTATCGAAGCTGGTCACCTAACATCAGATTTGCGTTTAAAAAACTCAATGCGAAATAAATGTGTGAAAAGTTGCAAAGGAAAGTCTGATGACTGAATTTTAATTGTGTGAAGACCGAGCTTGGGCAGTGCTTTCTGTTAAAAGGTTGATTTACTGTCAAAGATATAAATGTAATCACACATTAATGCACTTAAATTGATCTGCAGGGTTGAATACATATTTAATTTTTGAAAAAGCAACAATAATTAATTAGAGTTCAATTAAATTTTCAAATAATTCATTAGTGTGAAAATATGTACTTCTTTAAAACAACATGTCTAGAAAAGTAATGATTTAAAAAAAAAAGCAAATTAAAAGCACAACTAATCACGTTACAGCAGTGTTTAGGGTCACATACACACAGATGAAACATGGGATACTGGTATGCAACAAAACATAAAATTTCCTAGCACATACTGTACAATAAATTTGTGTGATTACAATCACTTTGTTTTCACAGATGAGGACCTACATATGCCTACCAGTGGGCGGGGATGTGAGACGAGGAGGAGTGAGTCTCCGATGCCCTATCCTCTCCCCATGCCAGCGTATGGCGGATACTTTGCTCCCCTTACAGAGTATCTTCCGGAGAACCTCCACCCCACAGCTGGCTTTCACAGGTTTGTCTCCCTTTGATTACACTTGTTACAGACTTTTTCATTCCTGAATCAGAGATTTTTGTACAAAGTAAGACTTTACATGAAGGTCTAGCACAGTTTTCAGATTGAAAACCTGATAGATCTAAGTTAATATTATTAGGTTAAAAGAATAAAATGAGGTTATTCCTGTTAATAGTTAAAAAAAAAGTCTCAATTTTTATTGTCAGCAATTTTGAATGTATAAAGAATGAGACCAGGATATCTCACACTGGTAAAAGTGTTGATACACCTGTCCAGGGTAAAAAATATACAAACTTTATTAATTTTATAACAATTATGGAACAAGTTTTCACAACTCATATTAAGCGCTCTTGTTGGCCTGGATGTAAGCCAGCGTAGGGTCTTATTGTGGGAGGAAACCGGAGTACCCGGAGAAAACCCATGTGGTCGGGCAGGTGGAAGGCTAGTGCCTTAACAACTGTGCCACCCGACCACCCGACATAGCAGTAATGTTCCTGTCAAAACTGGTACTGGGTGGCCTGCAGCAAATTGCAATGGATGATAAAAAAAGATGTTCTTTATTACAGGAGTAACATAGCTGTAATGTTCCTGTCAGATCTGGTACTGGACGGCCTGGAGATCGACTGGTCAGCTCACCTTCCCCTCATGTTACATGTCATATTCTTAGGTAAGATTTTGGTATCTATAAGATAGCCATTAATTTATAGTATTCAGAAACAAATCATTTGCACAGAAAGCAGTTTAAGTTGTGTGTGTAAAACTCAAAGACATGATAGGATTGCCATTATTATGGATTAGTGTAGATGACTTGGACTTTGTAAACTGACTTTTCTTGACTAATTCATGAAGAATTTTTGTCTTTCTTATTTCACTCAACTTGAATGTCTTGTAATGAATAGATTATTTATTGCCTAATCAAAAAAATTGACATTGATGCTTAACACAAATAAGGTGAAATATATAAGTCATTGCAGTGTTATGGAAGATTACTAATAGGAAGATCAGAATCAGAATGATAAAAACAACTGGTTTACATTTTAGTTTCTATGCCAAAATAAGTGTCATTGGGAAAGTCATAACGCTTTCTGTTACTGGAATAAAATTCTGATTTTTGCTACCAGAATTTTTGCAGAGGATTTAGTTTCATAAATAGCCATTTCATGTGTCTTGTATGCTTAAAATGATGTTGAGTGATCAATGTGAAATACAACACTTCAGCTGTAAAACAATACGTGTCACTAAATTCTGTAAAGATACTTGCTGGATATACTCAAATTAACCAGAGACTTTTTCTTCTGGTTTAGTATTATAGACTGACATGTTCACATGATACACTGTCTAACAGGAAATAAATTCACTTTGAAAACTAAATCTTTAGACAACTTTTCCAACAGTTCTTTTCTCCATAAATGAGCAATTAAAAAAATAATGTAAAAAAAACCCCACAAAATTTAAGCACAAACAACCTCATATTACGTAATATTTTGTTGCGTACAGGCCTAGACCACATGCGGGGTATGGTGTACGAGCACTGTAAGAAGCTACTTGAGAACCTGATGTTACTGGCTGCTGCCCAGGAGCATGAAGGTGTGGCCCGGGTTCTGCTGGAGTACCGAAGTAACATCACGGATACACTCCGCCTCATTGCCGCGGACGACAAGGACATGCCCAATACATTAGGTATGTATGGTATAGAGGGATACTTGTTGGTTTTGTGCTTTCCATGTAAATATGATTTGTGAGGAAACATATTGTGTAAGAAATAAATCTTGTTGCTACATCAGAATGTCATTGTCTTCTGAAAAGATTTCATTGGATCGTCATGACTATATAATTTTACGTAAATTATAAAACTTAAAAAGTGCTGACGATAACTTGATTGCACTGCTAAAAAGTGCTGACAATAACTTACACTGCTCTCTTGAACCTTATGCTACTCACTGTCTAATTTAAACAGTTCACTAAAGATATGAGTTGTCACTGTATAGCTTAAATTGTTCCCTAAAACAACTTTATTCTGCTGTATTTTCAGAAGGCCATGGCCAAGAGAATGAATCGGTCGGGAGGTCAACATTCAGTCTTGACAGTGGTCAGGCGGTGATAACACCGGATGTGTCTGCACCAATAGAACAACCGGCTGACCCGGACTCCTTGAACACTGTAGAGGAGGTGGTGAAAGCTATCTTGGATTTCATGGATGCTAAGTAAGGCTGGTGAAAATATACTGCATGGCACAATTAGAAAATCGTGGTAGCTTGATTTTCACTGGTGTATTACTGTAGTAGGAAATGATAGTGGTATCCAACCCTCTGTCCATCCGACCAAAGCAACAGTGTTACAAACCATCCGTCAGATTTGTACCAAACTGTACAAGCATAGTACAAATATACACATTTTCATTCCTATACTTTTTCAACATATTTTGTAGGGCTGCAACGATACATCACAATATTTTGAATATGGTATGATACACAATGTCATTTCTTAATTTAGTCTACTCATATCCATTCCAACAGCTCCAGCTCGGCATGCACGTCAAAAGACGTGAATTGTATGAAAAGTTGTTACATTGGGATTAAAAATTTGCAACATATCATTTTGCTTTGCTTCTACTGTCACTATATGTACCCTGACATGTACTGTATCGTGACTACAGTATCGTGACACATATTGTTTCGCTATGTAATTAATGTATCATTGCAGCTGAATATTTTGACAGATCACTTTTAAACTTGGTACTCTATTTAATCATCACGTTTAGTAAATTTGTTGGTATTGCTCTCTCGATTCATATATATATACCGGTACATCATACTGGTGCAACTCTCGTTTTCATTCACCTGTGCTTGGTTTGTAGACGAGGACGCCCCCTGTGGAGCTGTGAGGATATCACACCTCGAACACTCAATACCCAGAGTGCTGTGCGCCTCGAGTATTTCCTTAAGTGTGTTGTGAAGTGCTTCAAGGAGATGCAGCCTCTGGCATTAGTGGAACAAAGATGGTCCCAAGTGGCGCTACAGCTGGCCCTGTCCTGTTCCTCACGCCACTATGCTGGACGATCTTTCCAGGTATTTGAAGACCTTTTTGTATGAATTTGTTTTTCTAATCATTTAGAAGTGCATGCACACAAAGGTGTAAAATGTGTACGAGTTGTCCACAATATACAGCCTAGCCAAAACCGACATTGATTTTGTGGACAACTCGTACACATTTTACACCTTTGTGTGCATACGCTTCACTGGTCATTTGTCTGATGAAGGTGACAGTGTACATATTGTACTAGTCTTTGAAACGTCACATAGAAAATGTATTGGTTGTGTAAAAAGAACTTTTCATAATCTTTTTGTATAAACTATGTACAGTAAATGCGGAACAACCGGTACGTCTGTTTCATAAATATAACAATTTCTGGTATAAATCCTGACGAATCTGCAGCCTTGCAAGGCTTTGTCAAGGCTTGTCTGAAAGCAGTACATTTGTATCAGATTACTAGGTCCGACCTTATTTAATAAACGAATAACTGTGGTTTGACTGGTTCAAGTGTTTAAACGAAAACGACCTAAGTAAACAAAGCCTGAGATTATTCTGGATTCTGCCATGTTTGGGATGTAACAACACTTTTCATTGGTTAATAACCATGGATTGTTGGACGATAGATAGGCCATGCACATGCATGTATTATTTTCCAACAGACAATGCTCTTCATTTCTCACCCTTGTTATATATTCAACCATAATACACACAAATACGTTCATCATTTCTTAAATAATCTCTTAAATCAGGCGGGAGATTTTAGTCTGAGCCCTCCTGTTATACTGAAGTGGCAAAAAATGGACCTGCTGCCCTCCTTGAATTTTTTCTGACTTCTTTCTTTTCTCTCCTGTCTCTTATTTACTCTTTCCTTTCAGCAGTGGTTCCCTCCATTCTTCAGGGGCTGCACTAATGTGCCTCCACACTGTAATGTCGTTACTTTGAAATAGTAGAATGACATTCCGTTTGTTCGGACTAACATGAGATGTACATGTGTCTTGAGACACCACAGTAAATTAAAGAAAGGTAGACAAGTGAGATATTTAAAAGAGAATTTATGTGTCCCTTCTTTTATTATGTGTAGCAGAACTAGACTGGGTAGATTGTCGGCAACCAGCAGGTAGCTCATTGGGTACAGCATCCATCTTAGAGTTTGGAGGGTCCCGGGTTCGAACTCCTTTCAACTCCTGTAACAGGGGTGCCTGTGACCAACCCTTGTTTCAAGCATTGAGTGTATGCTTGACAAGGGGATACCCTAACATGGGTTGTAAATAGTTGTGTCTTCGGGGATGAAGACTTAGAAAAAGGAGGGAGGAATGTAGCAGAACTAGAATGGTCAGATTCTTGACGACCAGGTAGCTCAAATAGTAGAGCGTCCGTCTATAGTTTGGAGGGTCCTGGGTTCAAACCCCGGTCTGCCTACTATGTATTTTTCTTCTCATTTTACATATGCTATAGATTTTCTGCCAAAATACATGATTTATATACGACATGTAAATTTCAATGAGATTTTTCACTATGTATAAAAAGTGTTTATTGAATACAAACTGATGTGTTTATACAGGTTTTGCGAGCCTTGCACATTCGTCCATCTACACAGATGTTGTCAGATATCTTGTCAAGGCTGGTTGAGACTGTTGCTGAACAGGGCGAGGACATGCAGGTAAGGTGGACTTATTATTGTCTTAAAGGGGATTTCCTGCTTCTATATTTTGAACTTAAATTCAGTGCAATTCCAGATTTAACATTTCTTCCTCCAATTTTGGTAACTTAAACAAAACAAAACTAAAATCAAAAGACAATAAAATCTTATCTGAATTTCTTGCAGTACCGTTTTTGGGGACAATAAAAGCTCTTCAGAGCTGATGGTACTTGCTTGATTGTACTGCATTAGATAAATTTAGTGTTGTATAATTATGTATTGCTTTAAAACATTAACTGATGTTAACAGTATAATTATGTATTGCTTTAAAACATTAACTTAACTGATGTTATCAGGGTTATGTAACTGAAATCATCCTGACGCTAGAGGCTGCTGTAGACAATCTCGACCTTGAATTTCGCCCAATGGACTTCATGCGTGAGTTGTTCATTTCAACGCCAAACCTTGCGAAGGATGGGGGATCTGAAGGAAGAAAGAGCTGTGCATTGATGGCCCCTCGTCATCCCTCGCCACATCATGCCCGCAGTACCAGTTACTCCCAGGGCCCAGTTCATCGCACTGCCCCCCGTAAGTAATGGCTACACCAGCTTTACCATGTCTTATATGGATAATCATATATATGTTTATTAGTACAATGCTTTCACAAGCAAAAAGAAATTTTATTATCTAACCATTACTTGTCTGGTTGTCCCATTATCTAACCATTACTTGTCTGGGTGTCCTAGTATCTAACCATTACTTGGCTGGTTGTCCCATTATCTAACCATTATTTGGCTGGTTGTCCAATTATCTAACCATTACTTGTCTGGTTGTCCCATTATCTAACCATTACTTGTCTGGGTGTCCTAGTATCTAACCATTACTTGGCTGGGTGTCCTAGTATCTAACCATTACATGGCTGGTTGTCCCATTATCTAACCATTATTTGGCTGGTTGTCCCATTATCTAACCATTACTTATCTGGTTGTCCTATTATCTAACTATAACTTGGCTGGTTGTCCCATAATCTAACCATTACGTGGCTGGTTGTCCCATTATCTAACCATTACTTGGTTGGTTGTCCTATTATCTAACCATTACTTGTCTGGTTGTCCTGTTATCTAACCATTACTTGGTTGGTTGTCCCATTTTCAAGCCACCACTTCTCTGGTTGTCCCATTAGCAAACCATGTGTCTGCTTGTTTTGTTATCCAGTCATCACTTAGCTTGTTGTCCCATTATCCAGCCAGTGTTTTAGGTGATAGATTTTCCAATTTCCTACAATGAAATTGTACTAATAATCCAGCGGTATCACAATCTATCCATTAGTAATGGGCTGATGATAAATTATAATCAAAAATTGATCGGTCTGCCCTTTCCGATTTCAATTATAGGTTACAAATTCCATAATCGATACAATCGAAAGTCATATATTTTTATGATTTATACTATCTGATTGATAAAAATGCATAAATGTTGCTCGATATGCATACATTATAAAAGAACAAAACCTAATGTATAGTGTACCACTCTGTCTATTGATGTAATAGTAATGTTCTCACTTTATTTGGGTATTCAGTCCCATATAATTACAAACTGATTATGCAATCGATCATAGATCGGTTCACTACTTCCAATTACAAACCAATTATCAATTATAGTTTTTAACCGATTGCCAATCACTACTACCCATTTAACTTTTTAGTGAAAGTGACTCCCCTTTCGAGGTTTGACTTTATCTTGAAGTAAAGTGGGATATTTTCTTCTTTGTTACTAAACCATTTCCTCCTTAGTAGACTTACGACTGCGCAGTGGCACTGAGGTGGAGAACCGCATGCGGGCAAACATGCCCAGGTCGCGGAGTGCACATTCCCTAAAGAACCTTGACCATAATGGGGCGGAAGACAAACTGACCATCATGTCTCAGATGTTCTGGATAGCTGTGTCCCTCCTGGAAAGTGACTTTGAGTACGAGTTCTCACTGTGTGTGAGGTTACTGAGTAAGGTGAGTACGAGTTCTCACTGTCTGTTAAGTTACTGAGTAAGGTGAGTATGAGTTCTCACTGTCTGTTAGGTTACTGAGTAAAGTGAGTACGAGTTCTCACTGTCTGTAAGGTTACTGAGTAAGGTGAGTATGAGTTCTCACTATCTGTGAGGTTACTGAGTATGGTGAGTAAGAGTTCTCACTGTGTGTGAGGTTACTGAGTAAGGTGAGTATGATTTCTCACTGTCTGTAAGGTTACTGAGTAAGGTGAGTACGAGTTTTCACTGTCTGTTAGGTTACTGAGTAAGATGAGTACGAGTTCTCACTGTCTGTTAAGTTACTGAGTAAGGTGAGTACGAGTTCTCACTGTGTGTGTGAGGTACTGAGTAAGATGAGTATGAGTTCTCACTGTCTGTTAGGTTACTGAGTGAGGTGAGTACGAGTTCTCACTGTGTGTGAGGTTACTGAGTAAGGTGAGTACGAGTTCTCACTGCCTGTTAGGTTAATGAGTGAGGTGAGTACGAGTTCTCACTGTGTGTGAAGTTACTGAGTAAGGTGAGTACGAGTTCTCACTGTCTGTCAGGTTACTGAGTAACGTGAGTACAAGTTCTCACTGTCTGTTGAATAAGGTGAGTACGAGTCCTCACTGTCTGTTTGGTTACTGAGTAAAGTGAGTACTAGTTCTCACTGTCTGGTAGGTTACTGAGTAAGGTGATTACGAGTTCTCACTGTCTGTAAGGTTACTGAGTAAGGTGAGTACGAGTTCTCACTGTCTGTTAGCTAGGTTACTGAGTAAGGTGAGTACGAGTTCTCACTGTCTGTTAGGTTACTGAGTAAGATGAGTACGAGTTCTCACTGTCTGTTAGGTTACTGAGTAAGGTGAGTACGAGTTCTCACTGCCTGTTAGGTTAATGAGTGAGGTGAGTACGAGTTCTCACTGTGTGTGAAGTTACTGAGTAAGGTGAGTACGAGTTCTCACTGCCTGTTAGGTTAATGAGTGAGGTGAGTACGAGTTCTCACTGTGTGTGAGGTTACTGAGTAAGGTGAGTACGAGTTCTCACTGTCTGTTAGGTTACTGAGTAAGATGAGTACGAGTTCTCACTGTCTGTTAGGTTACTGAGTAAGATGAGTACGAGTTCTCACTGTCTGTTAGGTTACTGAGTAAGATGAGTACGAGTTCTCACTGTCTGTTAAGTTACTGAGTAAGGTGAGTACGAATTCTCGCTGTGTGTGTGAGGTACTGAGTAAGATGAGTATGAGTTCTCACTGTCTGTTAGGTTACTGAGTGAGGTGAGTACGAGTTCTCACTGTGTGTGAGGTTACTGAGTAAGGTGAGTACGAGTTCTCACTGTCTGTAAGGTTACTGAGTAACTTAACTTATTGTAAACATTATAACTATATAAGAAATTTCATCACATTTTTATTTTGATAAAGTATATCAATCTATTCTTCAAAATTATTTTGCGTATAAATTGTTTTTTGATTTGAACAAATTTCCTTTAAACATAGTATGTGTGCTATGTATCAACATGCATGCAGATAAGTTATTAATACTTGACTGCATTTTTATTCTTCTGAATTTGCAAATATTTATAGATATTGACAAATATACAACCAGAAAGACCAGAGTGTCGTGAACGTTTGGAGAAGATCCAACAGCAGATAAAATGGACAAACTTTCCAGGGATCCAGACTCTCTTGTTAAAGGTACAAGTATTTCACATTGTGGGTGTCCATGGAAGGTGTGTGATGCCTTTGTGCATTTGTCAAGAACATTGTTATTATAATGCAATGTCTATGCAATTTAAGAAATGTGATTCATACCTTAGGTATTTCATGTAATAATGAATTTTTAGGTCACCTGAGCTTTAGCTCAAGTGACCTATTGCTATCCGTTTTCGTCCGTCGTCGTCCGTTAACATTTTACATTTCGAACTTAAAGTCAAGTTCTGCTGGGCCGATTGAACTGAAAGTTGGTAGGAATGATCGCCTCATGGTCCTGACAAAGTGTTGTTATTTTTCGGGTCAATCAGAAATACAATTTGGCTGCCATGGCCGCTATTTTGCTACTAAGTTCTAATAGGCCGATCTCACTTAAAATTGGTCTAGGAATGATCAGCTCATGGTCCTGACAAAGTTCAGTTAACATTATACTATTTTTTACTCAAATTGGTACATATTTCAACAAAAAAAATAATACTGTAGACTCAGGTGACCGTTAAGGCCCATGGGTCTCTTGTTATTGATAATAATCACTAATCAGGTTAGTTCAAATTATGGCCATGAAATTGGACATTTGAAGGAATATTTACTTTACAAAATGTTTGTATAAAAGTGTATTCAAGATGTCATGATTTTATAGAATTAGTATTTTAAAGGGGTAAACAACTAGACGTCTCAAGGGAATGTTTTTACTACACAATTAGTGCAGACACAGCACAGTAAATGTTTTCAGACAATATAACCTTGTCTGACCTTGAGAGCGTTCGTCAATGTGTGCATTTTGTTGAAGGGATTTACATCTGGTGCGCTGTCAGAGCTGACCTGGTCACTGTTGTCTCGACTGACTGTGTGTATTGCTGCCCCTGTGGTGGACCCCACAGAAAACTTGGGTGAGTATATATATCAGTGCTCCTGTGGTGGACCCTACAGAAAATTTGGTTAGTATATCAGTAACACTGTGGTGGACCCCAAAGAAACATTATTGGAATATATTACTAGTGTAAAAGATGTGCATTGATTAGGTTGCCTTACAAGCGTCAGCTGTATGGAATTTCCCTTTAGCTCAGCGGTAGAGCATCAGGCTGGAGAGCCAAGGGACGCGGGTTCGAGCCCCAGCGTCGGCACTATCTTTATCACTATTCCTCATCCTATTACAAACTGGTGCCGTTGACCCTCCCCGTTCAAAGTAGGAGAACCCTTGGCGGGGAGTCAAAGAACCTGGGCTGGTGTTTGAAAAAAAGGGGGGAATAGTGTTAAAGATGTGCATTGATTAGGTTGCCTTACAAGCGTCAGCTGTAGGGAATTTCCCTTTAGCTTAGCGGTAGAGCATCGGGCTGGAGAGCCAAGGGACGCGGGTTCCAGCCCCAGCGACGGCACTATCTTCATCACTTTTCCTTGTCCTTCTACACCAGCCCAGTGGTGGAAATCACCAAAAATGTTGTATGTGTCGATATATATTCATTTGATAAAATTTGCCATGTTGCAGGCTTTCCAATAAATGTTGTTGCCCTCCTGCCCTTACTGGTACAGAACTACGAGAACCCGAGCCAGAGTTGTCGGGATGCAGCAGACCACATTGCACAGGTACAATTCCATCCATTTTTTTCCTCTTGTATTTTTTTCTCTCTCCGGATTGGGCCCGTGTTAGGTAAGGTTTGTATGATAAACACTAATTACCTGACTTCTATTACAACAATATGCCAAAGCACCAGTACACAGTCTCTAGCTACAAGTTTGACAAGATGAAGCAAGTCCATTACTATTTATTACTTCATGAAGGATGTGAAATTTCATCTAAAAATTGAAATTACCTATCCACCTATTTAACCCTTTCACCCCTATGTAACTTAAATGAACTCTACCATGCATTGATCGAGATAAGTCAATTATAGTCTACAGTGGTGAAAGGGTTAACTAAAATCACTGGCTACTGATTCACATTCACAGATGTATATAAAATTGGATAATGTAATAAGTCATTTGACTTACATAAGTCAAATATGATAAATATTTTAAGCTTTTGCAGTTGTACAACATGATAAAACAGCTATTGCAGTAATAGTCCTAGTTGCTCATCCTGTTTGTCAAGATGGATGTGGCATAGAGGTCTGGTGACATTTAATCCCTGACCAACGGCTAAGTCCGAAAGCTTGGAAAAGAGTGGAATTTTTAATTTCTTAGTATTGCAGTCATGTTTTCACCAATAGCAATATTGTGACAGAGGGGGGTTGCTCGCAATTAGAAGCCCCCTCCCAAATTTTGGCCCACCTTTTTTCTCAGGACGGGGAGG